CCTAAGGTCATATATCAAGTGAGTGGCAGAGTCAGGATTTGAACCCAGATCTTCTGCTCTTTACTGTGTCATGTTTTCTCAGTCTGAAATTGCAGAACAAAGTCAGGGGTAGATATGGGTGTTCAAGGGACAGAGTCTCATCTGAGTAGTACAGGCAAGTATTCCACTTAAAAAGGCTATAGTCACAGTCTTTAAATACCTAAAGAGTCGGTCGTGTGAAACAGGAAGTAGGCTGAGATTCTGCTTGGGAGCAGAAGGAATCCTGACCAAAGCAAGGTTCAACGCAGCAGATTTCAGATAAGTTTAAGAAGAATGCCCTAACAAATTTAGGCCAAAATGGGATATGCTGCCCCAAGATGCCGTGGGTTCCCCCTCGCGTGAAGGTGTAGATCCAACTACAGCTCATTGGGAATGTCATGAAAGGGACAGGGGCTCCCTTCCACCTCTGTGAGATTTCATGATTTAAGTGCAGTTGGTTGTTAATTAACAACCTCCAACCCTGAGTTGGGGGATTATGAGGATAAGATGTTGGGGAATATTTGCCTGAGAGAGTCACTTGTCCAAGCTCAGTAATTAGCAGACTCAGGATCTGAACACAGACCCCAAACTCTAAACCTGTTGTTCTTTACTCAGCACCCACTGGAAACTGGGTTTCAGCACTAGGTTGTTCCTGATCCTGTGATTTTTCACTCTCAACCCTGCTGTTGCCACCTAAACCTTTGGTTGGAATCAGAGCATCCATTTAGTCAGAGCATCCATTTAGATATTTGACCCAACCATACTTGTGCTCTTACAGGTACCAGGATCATCTATGACCGAAAATTTTTAATGGAATGTCGGAATTCTCCTGTGGCCAAAACACCTCCCCGGGATCTGCCCACCATTCCTGGGGTCACTAGCCCTCCCGGTGATGAACCTGCTACTGAAATGAACCCAAACCACCTACCTAACAGCCATGAGGACAAGCCAGGAAGCCGTAAGTAGAGAGGAGACAGCCAGGGAAACACAGGATATCAGAGCTATAAGGGCTTCTAGAGATCATCTACCCCCCCCCATTGGTACATCGCAAAGCTGAGGCCCAGATGAAAAAGTAGCTTGCACAGAGTCACACAGCATGAGCTAGAACCCTAGATGTCCAAGCATAGGGCTGACCACCTCCAGGAACTAACCTTCAACTAAAGTGCTTTCCAAGATTAGGGATGGAAGAAATCAGCAAGTTGGCCTTTTCCCCATTTCCCACACCCTTCATGCCCACCATAATAGCCCCATCCCTGCAAGAATAAGTGTCTGAGGGTGGGTCTACCCCAAAAGATGTAATAGAAAAGTCACAGTAGCTTCCCATTTCTTCCTTTGCATAAAAAGATGGGAAACTCCAGAAGCCTGGGAGTAGAGAGTGGTGTAATAATTGTAAGTCCAGGGTATCAGGAAGTTCTGTAGGGCACCCCTTTTAAAACTGAAGTAGATAAAAATGGGCCCCTGTATCATTGTCACCACTCAGTTCAGCATTGGGTAATAAATGACAGTCTTCAGTATTGCTGCTATTTATTTCGAACTTGGTAAGCTTCCTCAGGGTCTGGCACCCCAGAAGACATAGCGTGCCTGCCTTGGGATGACAGTGTGCTGATAGGCTCAGATGTGCATCTGGTAGAGGGAAGAAGGAAATAAACAGGCATTTAATAAGCGCTTACAGTGTGCCAGATGCAGTACAAATCTCATTTGACCCTCACAACCTGCCTGAGAGGCAGGTGTTATCCCCATTTTATAGTTGAGGAAACTGGGTCAGACAGAGGTTAAGTGACTTGTCCAGGGTCACATAGTAAGTGTCTGAGACTGGATTTGAACTTGAGTCTTCCTAACTTCAGGCCCAGTGTGCTCCCTATTCACTGAGGCCACCCAGCAGCCTTTTAGAATAGATTCATGCATTAAAGAGTTAGGGAGGAGGCAGCATGGTAGAAATTGCTGGACTTGGGACCAGAAAACGTTGTTTCCAATACTGCAGGCCGGTGACCCCAGACAAATGGCTTCACCTCTGTGGGCCTCAGTTTCCTCCTGTATAGAAAAATGGGGCTGGACTCAAGTGACTGCTAAGGTCTCTTCCAGTTCTGAATCTGATCCTGTGAGTACATGACCAAAGGAAGTGTAGATTTTGTGCTGGAAAGTAGGTTAGAGGTCATTCTGCAGATGTGAAAACTGGCCTAGAGTGGCGTCACACAAGTGAGGGGCAGAAGCAGGATTTTAATCCACGTCCTCGTCTCTAAATGAGACCTTCTGCCATCTCATTGCTTCCCAGCCTCCCTGACTTTTTTTCAGTGTCTGGGAAGGGCTAGTTAGCCTCTAGTCATTCTTGAGTCTATTTATCTACTGTTCTCTCTATATTTCCGTTATCATTCCTGTTAGCATGGTGGAAACAAGTTGTCAATTTGTTCCTGTAGGTTTTGTTTTCAGTAGGTTCCTCCTCTGGTTCTGCCTCTCTGGTCACCAGAAAAGCCTCACCATCAAGCTGTTTTCTCTTGCTATCTTTTCATTTTTACATGCTCCCAGTGTATCCTCCCTTCCCCCTCTCCCAGAGGGTAACAGAGGGCAGCAGGAGGTGGGTTTGGGTGGTCTTGTTCTTATTGCACACCAGAAGCCAGCTTGTTGGAAAATTCTTAAGCGCTTTCCAGGGGTGGGGCTGGAAAGAAGTAAACCCCCCCCAATTTCTCTTTTTCTCTTGCCTAGCCTTATCACTCTCAGGTTCCTCTCCCTCCCGTAGCCTGGTCTGCTACTGTCAGTGAACCTCAGGGCCTAGAAGGGAAGCAGCTTGCGCTTTTGTGGGGAAGGGGGGACTTGTCTAGTTTGTGCTGCTGCATGCTGACTGAAGTTGAAAGGTTATATCTGCCCCAGCAGCTTGGACTTGAGACTCAGGAAGCACATAGAAGGCTGGGAATCCCACAGCATAAACTGCAGGGCAGCAGGATACTCAAAGTGCCACATTGCAGGCAAGAGAAATGGATGAATAGAACCAGCTTCTGGAAGGGTGACAGAGACTGAAGTTGGTGTCTTGGGATCTGAGAACAGTGGGAAGAGAAAGGGATTAATAATGATGATGATGATGATGATGATGATAAGAACAATGATAATGACATTTATATACCACCTTAAGGTTTTTAAAGGGTCATGTTTTGTCATTGGATTTTCAAAACTATAAAACTCCAAGTCTAGCATTGTATCTACTGCGCTGCCTTAATGTTTGGGGGGGGGGGCTGTCAGGGATGGTAGGAGGGAAGGACAGGACCCTTGTTTGTCCTCTTCCTGAAAGGATGCACACCTAAAATGGGGTCAACCTTGTCTCTTGTCTCAATCCCAACTTTTTTTGTTTTATCGATTTCATTTGTTTTTATATCACTTTCATTTCTGAATATGTCCCTCCTCCCCCTCTCTATCTAGATCACTTTTGTTTAGAAAAAAACTGTTTTAAGTCAAATCAGTTGGTAAACATTTATTAGGCACCTCCTATATCCTGGGCACTATGCTAAGTGCTGAGGATCCAAGTAAAGGCCCTGAGGTTCACTGACAGGAGCTCACAATCTAACAGGGGAGAGAACTGTTATGTACAAACGATAAATACAGAATAAATTGGAGATAATCAACAGAGGGAAGGCACTAGCATTGAAGGGGCCTGGGGAAGGCTTCTTGAAGGGGAGCTTTCTAGGTGAGCCTTGAAAGAAGCCAGGAGGGAGAGCATTCCAGACATGGAGACTGCTAGTGACAACGCCAGGAGTCAGGACATGGAGTACTGGATGCCAGGAATAGCAAGGAGGCAGGTGTTTACGGATTGAAGAGTAAACAAGTGGATGAGGGTAAGGAAAAGTAGGGGGAGGGGCCGGCTTCTGAAAAGGGAAAAAAAAACAGGTCAGCAAAACTAGTCTAATGGTATATGCAATATTTATCCTGAGAGGCCCCTAAGCACTGCAGTGTGAACAAGGTGCATCTTTTAATCTCCTTTTAGGACTTCTTAGCTGAGGGTATTGCCCATAACTTAGATAAGAACAGGTAATTCCAACCCTCCTCCCCCCCGTTCTGCTTTATCATGAACTTCCTAGAAAAATGAGAAGAGGGTAGATGTTTGCTTAGGGTATAGTTGGGAGTGACCAAATTATCCAAATCTACCCCCCAAGTCAGAGAAACAACCTAATGGGGTAGTAAAATTACCAGATATGGAATCAGAAGACCTGGGTTTGAATCCTGCTTCTGACATTTAATAGCTCTCTGACCTTGGGCAAGTTGCTTAATCTTAGTTTCTTTTCCTTTTTCTGTGAACTGAAAAGCTGGACTGGGTGATTTTTAGTGTCTCTTAACTGTAAATGCTGAAGCCCTTTTGTAATCCAGAGGCCAAGTAGAATGTGACTTTGGAAGCCTAGACTTGCTGCATTTCCTTTGGGGTTAAAGGAAGGAACAACAGTAGCTAAGCAATCTCTGGAAACTATGCCTTGTGGCTCAACATGAGGGAAATTTTCCCTTCTTCCTCTACTCTCTAATGAATTTGGATGAGGAGGGGAGAGGAATGTCAAGATGAGCCAACAGAAAAATGAAAAAAAAAATGACCTCTATTTAAATACCCTATAACAACTCCTAAGATACCAATTGTGTCTACTAACTATCTTTTGGGTTCATCAGTCTTTATCTTTTCTCTCCCCAGATGAGGAATCACAGTTTGAGATGGACATTTAAAGGGCCAGCCACCAGAATTGAGCAGTGGCCCCCAAGACCCACGGATCCCGTTCAGGGAAGGAGACACACCGGTCAAGCCTTATAGGAGTTTTTTCCAGAGCAGATGCCAGGGATGGGGCTAGCTGTCCCACTCCCTCCTCCCCAAGTGGGGCAGCTCCCCCCTTCCCAGAGCCAGCATCAGCAGATCCTTCCAGTAATGCCAGGAACTGCCCTTGCCAGGGGAATTGCGACCCCTGCTGCAGAGGGATAAAGTCAGGGGCAGGAGGAGCCCTTGTGAACTTGCCTAGTTCTTCAGGTCTCGTCCTGAATGGATGTGTCCACCCCTTTCAAGTTTGTGCCCTGTGGCCCACACACAAGGTCACAGGAATGTCCCCTCTAGAGAGGAAATAAATGCTGGTCGGCCAATTCTAGACCTCGGGCCGAGAGCGGAGACCTGTCTGAGCATCTCTTCTCGTCTTTGGCTGCCTTCAACCGATGAGTCCCCCATTCCTTTTGCTCAACCCCATAAGTAGGACTTAGGCTGGCATGTGGGAGGGGCAAACTGGGCTTTGACATCAAGGGATTCGCCCATATTCTTGAGATGGGCTTGGTTTAATCAAAACCAATTAAATATTTTATTGAATACCTACTATGTGGCAGGACTTATGAGAAATATAAGGTACGTGCTGGGAATCAGGGCAGGTACACAACCAACTAAGGTAACAGTGCCTAAGATGACATGAGATGCTGTAAGGTGCTACATGTTTACTTGTGTGATAAGAGAGATCACTAGGCAGGAGGTAGCATTTGAGCTAGGCCTTGAAGAGAAGGTTAGTATTTTAGCAAACGGAATGGAAGAGAGGGCATTGTCAACATGAATTCAAAGGTAGTAAAGGCCAGGCTGTTTGATGAACAGTGAAAAGACCAGTCAGGCAAATCAGAGTATTTCATTTCAACATAACACCTGCCCACAACAGGTTCTACTCTAATGTAGATAATGGCATGTACACAAATAAATGGTATTTTGGGTAGAGCGTAACAAAGGAGAGATCTAGGGAAAGCATTCTAAGAAAACTTAAGAGAGTTCACTTTCAAATGAGGAAGGAATTAGAGAAAGCTGAACTGGTCCTTGAAAAGGAATGGTTGTGTTCCAGAAAAATCTAGGAACAGTGGGATCAAAACAGTGAACAATGCACAGCTAGGAATATCGTGTCCTTAAGGAATTCCCATTCTCCTCAAGAGACATGACCCCAAAAATAAAATACAAGATTTAGTCAAAAGGAGAGATCAAAGTGCCCGAGATCTGTTTGAGGAGGGAGAGATTATTAATGGGGGTGGGGGAAAGCTTTCCTAAAAGTATATGGGAGCTGAGCCTTGAAAGTCAGTAAGACAAGTAGGAAAGGATGGCATCCTGGACTGGGAGGGAGGAAGCCCTAAGTGGCCATCTGACACGAGCTGTGCAACTATGGACAAGTGACTTAATCTCTCTCTCTTGATGTCCTAACCTGTAAAATGAGAATGGTACCTGATCTAGTTGTCATAAGGCTCATTTGAAATAATAATGCACTTGAAAACCTTAATATGCTTTATAAAAATCTTATTAGCAAGCAGTCCAGGAAATAGCAGTCACGAGAACCCAAGGGAGGTGAGATGCAGTGGGGGCAGGGAGGGCTGCTGTCAGAATTTGGCATGGAAGGAGGACCACTGAGGACATGTGATGAGAGATCACTGGGAACCTTCAAGAGACTTTCAGTGAAATGGTAGGGTCAGAAGCCAGATTGCAAGGTGTTGAAGAGTGGATAATGAGGCAGTGGAAGCAGCAAGTATAGTCTTTTCTAGAAGTTTGGTAGTGAAAGGAAAAGGAGATACATGATAACCACTGGGGGTGGGAAGGGGGACTCGGGATTAAATACTAGCAGGCTATGAATGACAAGATGAGTGGGGGGCAGGAAGGCATTCGAGGGGGAGGACAATGCCTTATTAGTCTAATTATCTCCAGGGTCCATACTGTCTGAGGTGGAGAAACCTAGGTCAAGGTGTCCTAAGGAAGATCCTTGTGACACTGAAGTCCCTGAGCATCAGGGAAGATGTGAAATCAGTGCTGAACTTTTGAAGAAGGAGAGCAACCTGGGTGTCAATCAGGAGATGACAACAACTTCTAAGATCTAGATGAGGGGATAATAAAGCCAACCACAAAAGAATGATGGCCAAGGGAGGGTCAGGAAGCATAAGTCAGGAGAGGAATGGGCCAGCTTCTGGCATGTGGAATGACTGGCCAGTGCTAGAGAAGGGCCATGGAAGAGGGGTGGCACTCAGAGCTAAGCTTTAGGAGGATAGCTGTTGTAGGGATATAGTTGGGTGGGGGCAAGAAGAACAGTGAGACTGCAAGGAATAAGTTTTTCCTGTATTTATATTACTGGGGGAGGGGGGTACAAAGAGGTAGCCACATGTTTGACACTCTGCTTGTGCAATAGTGAAATTCTCTTATTCTTGAGGAACTCTATTAGGAAGCGAGGCTTATTCAAATCCACCTATTATATAAATGAGAACTAGAGAGGTGATGTTTCCTGGATTAAAAGATACCTTTGCCATTTCATTCATATCCAAATACTGACTTCCCATACTGAAGTTTCTACCACACATGGACACATGTACCCCACAATGGTAGTTTAATCTCTGGGGTTCTATGAAAGGATAGGAGAAAAGACTGGCACCCAGAGATAAAGGGTACCTCAAATTCTCATCCACTGCAGGACAGTAGGGAAATGGTTCTCTGACTTTACTGAGCACATCTTCAGGTCCTTACTGAAGCCCAAGGAATCCACAGCAAATAAAACTTAAGTCTTTCTTAATTGATATAAAATTAGCATTGTGGGCTCTAGCACAGAAATTATTTTATAAAGGGGATAGTTGAGAAGGAAGGGGGAAAAATAGCTACCCAGGAGGGCCAAATCCCTACTTCTCACAAGCAGCCAGATCTACTAGAGGACAAACTCAATCACCTTTAAAGGCGGGTCATGGAGGCAGACAGCCTTAAAGTTCTTTCTCTACTGTTACAAGTTCTAAAGAAGGAAGAGATTTTGCGCTCTCTGCTGAGGCAAGTATGCTTCACTGGAGAAAGGAGGATGAGAGTAGCCCTACAACCAGGTCCTACAACCATGAGCCAGGTCGACAAAAGGAAACACATCCATGATCTACTCACCAGTTGTTCAAGTGGAACAATGTAATCCTATGTTTATGACTGTAGATGCCCAGAGTTAGGAACCTCTTCTTGGTGGCAGTGCAGGGTAGAAAAACAAATGGCCAGGAGAGTTCTAAATTGGACATTGTATCCTGTAGTGAAACAAAGTAAAAGGTGGGTTAGAATAACCTCCATTTGGGACATTGTGTTTAGAAGCAATTTCTCTGTATCTAAGGGCTCAGCTTAAGGGAAGGCAGGAATATCTCCAATCTCATCCATCTCATTCCATATTCCCAAAGAGTGCCACAGAACACAGGATTTGAGAATTGATTGAGATATCAATAGCTATATAGCTTATACAGAAAAGGAATCCCCACTATCATGTGCCCAACAAATGTTCATCTAGCCTTTGCTGACGCCTCCAAGGAGGAAAGTCCTACTACCTGTAAAGGAAACCCATACCACTTTTTGGATGGAAATCATTTAGAAGCTTTTACTGACATCAAGTCTAAATTTACCTCTATGCAATGTCTACCTGTTGCCCTCGCTTCTGCCTTCTGGGGCTGAACAAAATAAATCTAATTCTTCAATATGGCAGCCTTTCAAATACTTGAAGACTTAAGACATGGACTTACAGTCCTTTACTATTCTAGTCAGGGCAGCTAGGTGGCACAGTGGATATAGTGCCCCGCCCAGACTCAGAAAAACTCATCTTCCTGAGTTCAAATCCAGCCTCGCTAGCTGTGTGACCCTGGGTAAGTCACTTAACCCTGTTTGCCTCAGTTTTCTCATTTTTAAAATGAGCTGGAGAAGGAAATAGCAACCATTCCAGTATCTGCCAAGAAAACCCTAAGTGGGGTCATGACAAGTCAGATATGCTTGAAAAATGACAACACTATTCTAGTCCCCTTCTGGATATTCTATCCATGCCCTTCCTAAGCAAGGATACCCAGAACTCTGAGGTCTGACAGGAATGAGTACAGTGAAACCATCACCTCCTTTCTGAAAGCTGTCAACAAGCATTGATAACCCACTATGCTAAATGCTAGGTCACTGTGCCAAGTGCTAGGGATACAAAGGCAGAAACAAAATTTTTGAAAAACAGCCTCTGCTCCCAAGAAGCTCAGTCTAATGGAGGAGACAACAAGAAACAACTATATACAAAGAACTAAGGATAGATTAGAGACATACTAAGGTTATGGACTAAGGTTAAGGTTAGAGAAAGGCTTTTTGATAAAGGTGAAACTTTGCAGAGACTTCGGGGAGGCCAAGAAGCAGATATGAGTGGGAGAATTCCAGTAATGGGGTTAGCCATTGGAAAATGCAGTCAGGTGATGGAAGTTTCTGGTAAGAGAAACAGCAAGGAGGCCAGTGTCCCTGGATTGGAGAGTAGGTGGAGGAACATAAAGTGTAAGATATATAGAGGGAACTAGGTGATGAAGGCTTGTAAAAGCCAAATGCAGGATTTTATATATGATCCTAAAGGTAATAGGAAGTCACTTGAGCTTATTGAATATGAGAGGAATGTCCTCAGACTTGTGTTGTAGGAAGATCAATTTGATAGCCAAGTGGAGGATAAATTGGAGTGGGGAAAGACGACCCTGTAAGCTTTCACAGTAGTCCGGGTGTGAGATAGTAAGAGTCTTCACCAGGTTGCAAGGTATTAGTGAAAGCTGTTCCTCTCAAGGCAGCCTACAATCACATTACCTTTTGGGGTTGCCACATCACACTGCTAGTTTCCAGGTATTTTTCAGACCTACCCACTTTATATTTGGGAAGTTGATTGTTTTGGCAATGAAGTCTTTACATTTGTCTGTATTGAATGTCATCCTATTGGATTACACCTAATGCTCTAGTCTCTCAAGATCTTGGATCTTGTCTGGGTCATCCACAATGTTAGCAGTCCTTCCCAGCTTTGTATCATCTGCAGATTTGATGAGCATACTATCCATGCCTTTATCCAAGTCACTGATAAAAATCTTAAACAATACAGGGCCAAGCACTGATCCCTGGAGTATCCCTCTGGAGATCTTGTCTCATGTTGACAGTGAACCATCAATAACTACTCAAGGCCAGCCATCCACCCAGTTCTGAATCCATCTGATTATATATTACTGTATACTCTACATCTTCATCATGAGAATAGTATAAGAGGTTTTATCAAAAATTTTTCTAAAATCTAGGTAAATTATATCCACATTATTCCCCTCATCTACTAGCTTAGTTATTGTAGGAGGAGGTTGGTAGTATTGTAAGAAAGGAGGTTCGTCTTTTACAACAGTATAATTGGGTGGTCATCTCAAGGAAAAGGTACTTCAGCTGGCCAAAGGTGAAGACTAGAAGTAACCTCTTGCAGAAAGTAGGATTTGAGCTGTTTTGAAGGAAGACAAGGGATCTCCTGCTTCACCCCCACCCCTTTGCCCTGCCAAGAACCATTGGGTTACTTCCTTCTAACCCCTGCAAAGCAAGACCTTCCCACCTGACAGCCTATAACTAGGCCAATTAGCCTTCCTTGAGCTTCTAGAGTTCTGCCTGGCCCACACCTACTTCTACATCCAGCTGCTATCAAGCCTGTAGAGACCTACCACCATAATTTAAACACATAATAGCAATGAGGCTAATAACCCACCACCATAGCTCTAGAATCCAACCCACCACCCAATTACCCACATTTATAACTTTAATTTCCAGCAATCCTACCATAGCTCCATATTTCTTACACAAGATCAATTGCCCACTTTCACAACTTTGGCCCCTAGAAGCTAATAGGTAGTTAGGCTGATTATTCCCATGTACAGCTCTAGCTTTTAGCTTAATACGCCTGTATTTCTGAGGCCTTTTTAGCTTCAACTCCCCCGTTGATTATTGCCCTGAGTAGAAGTCAAAGAAAAAAAACATGATCAATAAATTCTATCATTTTAGAACTAAGAGAAAGAAGTATCTTCACAAATATACATTCCTGAATGTAATGGAAGAAATAGCAAAAGTTTAAAAATTGAATATATTCAATAATTTATTAAAAATAAGACCAATTCACCCATTCTTCCCCTCAGCCCCCCATGGGGGGTGGGGCAGGCTGAAGAATGAAAACCAAAGAAACAATTAGGGAATGTGCAAAGTAATATCATAATTTTAAATATCAATGAAGTAGCAAAAAATAAATAAAATTAAGCAAAGGTAAATAAATATGAATGGAAAACAACATAACTTTTAAAGGCAAATTTTAAAAGTGGGAAGAGAAGTAAATGAATATGCAAGACAAAGATAGAGCAAAAAGTTCACACGTTAGATGAACTGCAACTCCAGAAAGAAAGGGGAGAAAAAGAACCTAACTTTTCCAGGATCTAATGGGTGGGAGGGGTGTTCTGAAATAGTTACAAATATGTACTATTCCAGAAGTGAAAGGAATACCCATGTTCTCCCGACACAGAGAAAAGCTAAACCATGATTCTCAGACAAATAATTGGCAAGTTTCAGAATAGTACCAGTGACTCAACTTGTGAAGTTTGGATTCCAAGGACCACACTTTTTTTTTTTAAAGGCAATTTCAGTTAAGTGACTTGCCCAGGGTCACACAGCTAGTAATGGTCAAATGTTTGGTCTCAGGCGGGATTTGAACTCAGGCACTCCTGACTTCAGGGCTGGTGCTCTACCCACTGCGCCACCTAGCTGCCCCAATCCAAGGACCATACTTGAGGACCTAGTGGGCCACATGTAGCCTTGAGGTTGCAGGTTCCCCACCCTTGGACTAGCACTCACATTGTACTTCAAGGTTTGAAAGGCTCTTTACGGTGGAGCTAGGTGGCACAGTGGATAGAGCACCAGCCTTGGAGTCAAGAGGACCTGAGTTCAAATTCAGCCTCAGACACATAACACTTACTAGCTGTGTGATCCTGGGCAAGCCACTTAACTCCATTGCCTAGCCAAAAAACCACATAAATAGTAATGATTATATTAAATTAAAAAGCTTTTGCACAAACAAAACCAATGTAATCAAAATTAGAAGGAAAGCAGAAAGCTGAGAAACAATCTTTACAGCAAGTGTCTCTGATAAAGGCCTCATTTTTCAAATATATAGAGAACTGAGTCAAATGTGTAAGGATGCAAGCCATTCCCAACTGACAAATGGTCAATTTATTTATTTAAATAAATATTTAAATGGTCATTTCTTCAGATGAAGAAATCAAAGCTATCTATATGCTCTAAATCACTTTTGACTAGAGAAAAGCAAATTAAAACAACTCTGAGGTACCAATTCACACCTATCAGATTGGCTAATATGACAGAAAAGAAAAATGATAAATGTTGGAGAGGATGTGGGAAAATTGGGACACTAATGCATTGTTGTGAGCTAATCCAACCATTCTGGAGAACAATTTAGAACTATGCCTGAAGGGCAACCAAACTGTACATGCCCTTTGATCCAGCAATACCACTAGTAGGTCTGTATCCCAAAGAGATCATAAAAAAGAGAAAAGACCTACATGTGCAAAATATTTATAGCAACTCTTTTTTGTCATGGCAAAATACTAGAAATTGAAGGGATACCCATCAGTTGGGGAATGGCTGAACAAATTGTGATTTATAAATGTAATGGAATACTATTGTGCAATAAGAAATGATGAGCAGGCAGATTTTAGGAAAACCTAGAAAAATTTGTACAAACTGATGCAAAGTGAAATGAGCAGAACCAGGAAAACACTGTACATAGTATCAGCAACATTGTGTGATGATCAATTATGAATGACTTCGCTCTTCTTCAGCAACACAATGATCCAAGACAAGTACAAAGGACTCATGATGGAAAATGCTATCCACCCCCAAATAAAGAGCTGATGGACTCTGAATACAAATCAAAGCATACATTTTTCACTTACTTTATTTTTTTGTGTGTGTTTTTTTGTTTTGATCTGTTTCTTCTTTTACAACTATGACTAAGAAGGAAATGTTTTATTTAACTGTACATATATAACCTACATCAAATTGCCTACCATCTTAGGAAAAGGGGAGGAGAGGAAGGGAGGGAGAAGAATTTGGAAATTAAAATCTTGGTAAAAATGAATGCTATGAGGGAAAATGCTATCCACATCCAGAGAAAGAATTATAGAGTTTGAATGCAGATCAAAGCATACTATTGGCTCTTTTTTCCTTCTGTTTTGTTTTGTTTCCTCTTTCTTGTGATTCCTCCTATTGGTTCTAATTCTTCCTTACAACATGACTAATGTGAAAATATGTTTAATAGGAATGTATATATATATAGCCTTCAAACTGCACACCATCTTGGGGAAGGAGAGGGGAAGGGAGGAGGAAAAAAATTTTAAACTCAAAAGCATATGGAAGTGATTGTTGAAAACTAAAAATAAATTAATAAAAATATATTAAAAATGAACGCTAAAATTGTCTTGATATAAAATTGGGAAAATATAAAATACTATTTTTAAAAAATAAAATAAATTAGAACCTAGCTTTCCTCATGAATACAGATGCAAAAATACTAAAGAGATGAATCAACAATACAGCAATACATTGAAACATTTGTGCATCATGTACAAGTAGAATTTATGCCAGATATCCAAGACTTTGCCAACTTTAGAAACAACAAAGGGAAGTAGACAATTATTTTCTCAATAGGTAAAGACAAGTCCTTCAGGGGAAAAATCCAATATTCATTCATGATAAATACTAAAGAAAAAAAAGGAATGGGAGGGTGGGGGATAGGGGACTTCATGAATACTACAGTGTCACTCTGCAATCAGGAACCAATGTATAGCAAGTGCCTGCTTTCACCCTTTGTATACTACAAAAGTATTTTTTAAATGCTAGAATTGCAATAAATTAGGAAAGAGATTAGTAAGATTAACATCGGAAATGAAAATGCCAAACAATCATTTCTAAGTGACATGATATTGTACTTAGAGAACCAACTGTCTTTCCAGAAAACCCCAAATATACTTGATAAAACTGGTTAGTAAAGTGACAGGAAATATTTAGGCCTCTTTTCCCGCTATATACCACAAAGACTTACAACTAACAAAGATAGTATCTTTCAAAGATGGCAGGAAAATAAAATTCCCTTGACATGAAGAAAAATTGGCTACAAGATAGATATGTTTGTTAATATTAAAAATTATATCAAGAAAAATAAAGATTGGTATATCTGTTGCAAATGATAGATAAAAGTATGCCATCTAAAGTCTTATGAAATGTTAAAAATGCCCAAAGGTAGACCACCCAACAATAATGAGGTCAGAAAATATGAACAGATCATTTATACTAGAGGAAACTCAAGTGATTGATAAGTTTTTGAAAAGCACATAACCTCACTTAAAGAGGTCCAAATTAAAACAACTTTGGAAGTGTCAAAGAAATGAATGTGCTAAACACAGGAGATACAAAGAGAAAAGTAAAACAGCCCCTGCCTTCAGGGAGCTCCCATTCTAATTGGGGAGAGTTTCAGTCCCAAGTCAGATGGAAAAGTCCCATAGTCAGGAGGGTACAGTAGCAAAGCAGATGGCAAAGCTTCTATTTAAATTAATGTCACATCATTTCTAATGTTTAACCAAGGAGAAGAGAAGGAGGTATATTCTTATTTCATTCATTGCTAGTAGAATTTTTTTTTAAGTCATCTGGCAGTACTTTACTAAAGCTTAAAAAATAATCATACCTTTTGAGTCAATTCCTTTACTGTTAATATATCCTGAGAACTATTAAAACATATCCTGAGAACTATCCTGTTCAAAAAAGACTTACATCTGTATCATTTGTATTTACAAAAAACTGAAAACAACCTAGATACTTGACAATAGGAAATGGTTAAATTGTAGTATTTTATGGCATTATATTACCTACCTTCATTGACATATGAGGAATAAAAAAATGAAAGTGATGCAAAACAAACAAAAAGAGACCTAGATCATAGCACAAACTTACTGATTACCTAGAAGAAAAAGCCAACAAAGAGAGCTAATTGAATTTAGTTACAAACACTATATATTAAAACATATTTAAATGCAAATGGTTATAAAAACTCATTTATTGTATTGGTCACTAAAACTATTTGTAATAAATTTTTAAATGATCTGTTTCTTTCCAACTTGGGTAGTTGCAAACCCAGACTTGGATTATCCTGTAAATAGAGATAACTACCATATGAGCAATGTCTATGGGATTTTTAGCTTCTGAACTATAACATGAGCCTAGGGCCTTCCTCCTGCCACCCCACACTTAATGAGAATTCTTATGATTTAATAAAGACAAGAGATTTACAGCTTAGAGACTAGAGCTCTAAAAATCAGAATTTACATATAAATAACTGCAGAATTGAGTGTCTTATTAGAGAGTCATTATTTGAATGGCTATTTAGCTTGTAAACAGTCACAAGACTGTCTGATTTGGTGAAAAGAGGAGACATTAAGAGTAAGGAAACCTGGGTTCTAGTCCTGACTCTTGCAGTTAGCTATGTGACCTTGGCCCTCTACTTTTTACATAGTAAACCCAAGGGTTTGGACTAGATAATGTAAGGTTATTTCCAGATTCAAAATGTTATGTTGTTCTAGAGGTTCTGATCTGGTGAGAATAACTCCCAACATCATCCCTTACCTTTTCCAAAGATGGCAATGTGCCTGATTAGTCTCCACACCCACCTGGTACAAAGATATTTAGTTTCATTACATTGAGATGATATGTGCTACAATTCAATTCAACGGGTTTTACTAAATTACTACAGTATGTGAGGAACCATACTTGGTAGACAAAAGACCAAAAACAACAACTAAATAGTCCTTGCCTTCGCAGAACTTACATTCTTACTGAGGAGATGGGGGTGGGCAACAACAAAGACTTTAATTATATCCACCCTATTATAGATTTCTGACTCTCACCCATTAGGAATCATAGAACAAGAAGGTGGCCTATAACTACTTGCCCTGATCAACATATAAATGGAGAAATTACTCAGAAAATTGCTTGACTCTGGACAGTACCCCCCTGCAACGGTATACATTTAATTCATCATATACTATATTTAACATGCCTCTTATCACTGCCGTAAGTTTAACAGATTTGTCCATCTGCTAGACAGGGCATGTAATCTTCATTTATGGGATGGTTTTTAGAAACTCCAGCTGCCTGAATCTGAATCCTCCAAGTATCGGAAACTTCATCTGAGTTTTTCACAGACAAAAGGAAAGGTTGCCCCAAAGGGGAACAAATCAGTAACACGGAGAAGTGTTGCTTCTCCTGCTCAGCCATACAACTGATAACTGGCCATTCTCCCACACCTTCTTTACCAAGAACACATCCCACAGCTGCAATTCAAAATGCAAATAACATCCAGAAACCCATAGCGGCCCAGTTTGGAGAATGAGATTAGTGGGTAGAGCCAGGCTGTGCCTTCTCAGGAGTCCTATAAATCCAGTGTGAGGTGAGTGGCTGGTTTGTCTACTGTTACCTGTACTTTGAAGCTTTAGTACATAAATGCTCCAAGAAGAGACAACATCAAAAGCAACCATCCAGCAAGGTCCCATCTGCTGGCAACCCAAAGGAAAGAGAAAATAAGAAATTAAAAATTAAAAGATTATCTCCTCCCAAAGTGAAAAGCCCCTTTTTCAGTTCTTTACTTTTTTTTTTTCGGTGAGGCAATCGGGGTTAAGTGACTTGCCCAGTTACACAGAAAATAGTTGTTCTGAAGTATCAGGGTTGGCCATGTGAGGAGGCAGTTAATGATATGTGTTCCTTGAGTCGGTCCACTCATCCCAAAATATCTACCTTAATTCCACTAGTCATTTTTAAGGGGGTGTCCTGAAGGCTTTTGGTTTGTTGAAAAAGTATATTAGATGCTATATTAAAAATGTAAAAACCCCTGAGAGGGGCTAATACCACCTAGGTGAGAACAAAGTCCTGCAGAAATGGGTCAAGTGGGGTTTGGGGTCACCCTATTTGATCTAATGTCATCTATTTTACAATCTTTCCTGAGGCAGGCTTTTTAGCATAGGAGGATGAGGAAGATCCAGGTACAAACTTTGTTATGGGAGATGATGGGATATAGTGAAAAGAATACTAGGTAGGGAACTAGAACTAGAACTAGAAAGAACTAGATACCACATGTATGACCTGAGGCTAGTCTCTTATAATTATTAATATTGGTGTTCAAGTTCCTTTGCCCAGAGTTCGAGGCCACCCAAAATCTGGAGCTACCCCACCTTTCCAGCTTTATCTCATCACTCTCCTACAGGCTATACACCTTTGTGTCTCTTTGAATCTTTGCTCAGATTATTCCCAATGACGGCCAATGACGTCAGTCTGCTAGTACTTATGTTTCTATGTGCCAGACACTATTTTAAAAATTAGTCCTTGCCCTCAAGGACCGGGGGGGGGGGAGACAATATGTAAACAATTATGTGCAAATAAACTATGTACTGGATAATCTTATACGAGAGGCACTATGGCCAAGGAGGCCTTTAGCTGAGCCTTGAAGGAAGCCTGGGAAGCTCAGGGGTGGAAATGAGGAGGGAGAATACAGTCAGTGAAAATGCTTGGAGTCTGGAGATGGAGTATCTTATCAGAGGAAAAGCAAGGAGGATGGTGTGTGGATTGCAGGGTACGTAAGAGAAGAAAGGTGTATAAAGGGCTTTGAAAGCCAAACAGAAGTTTTCATATTTAATCCTGAAAGTTAATAGGGAGCCAGATGAGTTTACTGAAAAAGGGGATGATATAATCGGATCTGTGTTTTAGGAAGATCAATGTTGATAGTTAAGAATGGATTGGAGGGGCAGCTAGGTGGCACAGTGGATAGAGCACTGGCCCTGGATTCAGGACGACCTGAGTTTGAAGCCGGCCTCAGACACATAACACTTACTAGCTGTGTGATCCTGGGCAAGTCACTTAACCCCATTGCCTAGCCAAAAAAAATTTTTTAATTAAAAAAAAAAAAGAATGGAGTGGGGAGAGAATTGATGCAGGCAGACCCGCCAGCAGGCTATTACAATAGACCAGGTGTGAGATGATAAGGGTTTGCAGCAGGTTAGTGGCGGAGTCAGAAGAGGTCATATAAAAGAGATGTTATGAAAGTGGAAATGGTGAGATGTGACCATTAGTTGGATATAGGGAATGAGAGAGAGTGAAAAGTTGAGGATGACACCTCGGTTGCTAGCTTGGGTGACTGGGAAGAAGATGGTGCCCTTGACAGTAATAGGGAAGTTAGGAAGAGGAGAGGTGTTAGAAGGTCAAATAATGAGTTCACTTTTGGACAAGTTGGGTTTGAGATGCCTATGAAATATCCAGTTCAAGATGTCTAAAAGGCAGTTGGAGATGTGAGATTAGAGATCAGGAAAGAGGTTGGGCTGGACAAGTAGATCTGAGAGTCATCTACATAGACATAATTAAAATCGCGATAGCTTATGAGATGACCAAGAGAAATAATAAGTGGGAGAAGGGAAGAGGATCCAAGATAGAACCTTGGGGGATACCCACTGTTAGTAAGCTTGAAGAGGATAAAGTTGCAACAAAGGATACAGAAAGAGCTGTCAGATAAGGGGATCAAGAGAGAGCAATGTGCCAAAAAGCTGGAGAGAAGAGATTATCAAGAAGAGGGTGGTTAACGGTGGTTAACAGTGTCAAAGGCTTCAGTGAGGTAAAAAAAGGATGATAATAATAGCTAACATTTATACAGTACTTACCATGTGCTAGGCACTGTGCTAAGTGCTCTACAAATATTATCTCATTTGATCATCACAACAGCGTTGGGAGGTAGGTGTCATTATTATCCCCATCTTACAGGTGGGAAAACTGAAGCAAACAGAGGTTAAATGACTTGCCCAGGGTTACACAGCTAGTAAATGTATGAGACCACATTTGAACTCAGGTCTTCCTAACTCCAGGCCCGGAACTCTTGAGAAAAGACCACTTGATTTGGCAATTAAGAGCTCATTGGTAACTTATGCCTTGAAAGTCTTCAACCTCACCCTTTAAATTCCTAATCACTCCTTAAAATCCAATTCAAATACCATGTCTCTGTGCAGGTTTCTTGTTAGATGGCTACTCTTCACCTCAGATCCCACCCAGCACTTTCTTCTGCAAATCTCTAATCCATCTATCACAGAACATTGTTTCTGTGGTTATCTGTAATTTATCGTATTCTCTTTGCTAGACTGTAAGTCATGGGAAAGGCCCCCAGAAGGAGGTGGTACGGGTGAGCCTGCCAGGAGGAATGGGCTGAGGTTTCCTGTGTACCTCTTGCCAACCCCTCACTGCCCCATGTAAAAGAAATGCGAGGTTGCAGGTTGGAGGGGAAGGATGAGTGTTAGGGGTTTCTCAATCTATGAAGGGTCCTTGAGCACTAAGGCAGCTAAGGTGGCGCCACAGTGCACAGGGTGCTGGGTCTGGTGTCTGCAAGACTCATCCATCCTCCTGAGCTCAAATCCAGCCTCAGACACTTACTAGCTATATGACCTTGGGCAAGTCACTTAACCTTGTTTGCCTCAGTTTCCTCATCTGTAAAAAATAAGCTGGAGAAGGAAAAGGCAAAACGCCTCCCTTTACCAAGAAAAACCCAAATGGGGTCACGAAAGAGTCGGACACGACTGAACAACAAAGGAGGGCAATAACAATAAGAATATGTATATGTTCAACAAGTATCACTAAAGTTTTATGGTTTACAAAGTACTTTCGCCCACAACCCTGTGAGGTTGGTGCTATGATTATCCCAATTTTCGGCCTGCCCAGGTCACACCGCTGATCAGTGTCAAGAGGCAAGATTTAAACTCAGTTCTTCCTGATTGGTGGGTATTGTATTTGTATTAATTTGTATTAACTAGGTGGCAGCGCTGTGACGAAGCTCAAAAGACAAAGGGTAAAAAGTACGGCGGCCATGCCCTCTGTGCTCTCGGGGTAAAAGCGGCCGTTGGGCGGGATCGCGGTCTCCTTCCAACCGTCTCTGCAATTTGAAGGCAGCGGGCCTGGCCCTCAACTCTCGCGAGACTCGGCCAATGATCTCGCGAGAAGTAGCACAGCGGGCAGCGATGGCGGCGGCGGGAGCCGGAGCCGGGGCTGGCGCGGGGCAGCCGAGCTCAGCGGCGGGAGCCGAAGAAGGAGAGGCACCACCGGCAGCAGCGATTGTCGCCGCCCCGGCTGGAGAGGGCACGTCGGCAGCACCTGCCGCGGATCCCAACTCCGGGGAGGCCGAAAGCGGGTGAGACAACCTGAGATCCCCAGTATCTCCCTCTTCCCGCCCCCCCCCCACTCCCCAGGCCCGAGCTTTCTGTCTGCTTTCTTGACTGTTCTCTCCAAAAGTACCGCCCCCTCCCAGCCCCGGTCCCCGCCCCTTTCCTGCCCCGCCCCCTCCAGCCCTGGGTCCCGCCCCCATCTAGCCTTGGGCCCCGCCCCTTGCAGCCCCAGGCCTAGCCTCAACCTTTCCCAATCTGGAGCCCACCACGTGCCAGAGGCTCTTCCCCTTTCCAACCCTGGGCCCCACCCTGCCGCTCCTAAGCTGGAGCCCATTAAGAGCCTGGGGCTCCTCCCTGCCCCAGCCCTGGGCCCCGCCCCGTCGGGACCTGGAGCTGAGAACCCCTCCTTGTTTCCCCACCTCCTTATCCTAGTCCCGCCCCCTCCAACTCTTGTACTCACCGCCTGCCAAGGGTACCTCACACCAAGTTATTCTTGACCCCGAGGTCGCTCCCTTTTTAGACCTTCTCTTGCTCACGCTTGGCCCCGCCCCTCCTCAAACTTTGGGTGTTTTACGACCCTTCCAGGTCTCGGATCCTTTTAGGAGCCTGGCCGCCTTTCCCCAACCTTGGGCCAGTTGCAAGGGCAGTGTTCTCTCCCCCTTCCTTAAAGTCCTGTTCTATGAAGCTCTTCACGCTGCACTAGACTGCCTCATAAAGGAGGTTCTCAAGGGCAAACCCCTGCTATCCTAATGCCCAGAACCCCTCTTTACCACAGTCTCCTGACCTCACTGAGAGCAGAGCCCCACTTCTTCCAAGAAAAAGCTACTCCACACAAGACCTGATGTGCATACTTAGGGCAGGGTAGCCAAGACCTCAGCTCTGGCTGAGGCTTATCATGCCAATTCAATTTAAAGATGCATTTATGAGCTGTCCACTATTTCAAAGCATGCCTTGCCAAAAAAAATAAAGGCTTCCATAAGACAATATCTACAATTTTGTTTTACACCTTAAATTGAGAACAGTGAGCCACCATCATTGTAAACATGGTTACCACCTACAAGGGCAAACTTGTCCATGCAGCATTTCCTTTTCTTGGTGTCATTACCTGTGTCTGCACCCCAAAGCCTCTTCTTCTCCCGTGGGTTTTTGTGACCTGATTTTTACTACCCAAATATGTAGTCCAGGAACTCTAGTCTAAGGGTATCCTTTTCTAAACAAGAGACTAGGATTTTAAAATTCTCTTTATTGGATAGAGTGTTTCTCCTGAACATTATGTTATTTATATAAATGCATTCTCCTAGGGATTCTGCCTTGGTTGATGTAACTGCTGGTTTGGAGACTGAATCCTCAAATGGAAAAGATACATTAGTAAGTATTTCTTACTTTTGTTTTGAATTTTTGCATAGACATTGTCTGAACACAACTAGTCTGTGGATTTGATCTTCTAATTTTCCTCTACAATTTCATGAAACTAGGAAGGAGCTGGGGACAGTTCAGAAGTCATGGACACTCAGACTGGTTCTGTGGATGAAGAGAATAGTCGGCAACTGGGAGAGGTGGAACTGCAGTGCGGGATATGTACAAAGTGGTTCACGGCAGACACCTTTGGCATTGATACCACGTAGGTGTTTTTTTTCCACTTTTGTAAAGATCTCAATGTTTAAAATGGACACATTAAGTAGCAATTTTTAGAATCTTTATAAATATAAGTGCTAATATGTAGACATTTCAAAGATACCGTATTTTATTTGGCCCTTATCCTTCAGTTGATGGGATAAAGATGTTGAATAAAGAAGCATCATTTAGTGAGCATTTATTATAGAGTACTTACTGTGCGTCTAAGACTTGATGCTCTGGGGAAGTTTTTTTCAAACCAGACTACAATGCAAACTGATACAGTATCCAAACTGCACTGTGAACTACTTCACTCTCTGGGCTCAGCATCTCAGGTAAAAGAACAAAAATATAGGAGCCAGCTGTAAAGAGATGAAATCAGTTTAAATTTATAGGTCTTTACAAGCAAGGAATTTTTGTAGTAAAAGTTTGGTGTATTAATCATTTTATGTAGGTGCCTATGATATAGGCACATATATTTGGGAGATATTCAGTAATCTTTAATTAGGGACCTAAGGTTCTGCTGCACAATAATATGTCTCTTGCTAACAATTCTTCCTTCTCTTACCCTTTAAATGTGGGTGTTCATTCCCAAAGTTCATACTTCACACTCTGTCTTCATTCTCTTTTTTGGCAAATTCTTCTACTCTGTACCTGACCTATACCTACAACTCCTGGGCTTCAGTTCCATGGTTCAGAGGGCCCAATGGTTATTCTTACTTGGATAGCTGTAATCCACTTAGTCGCTAAGTTCTGCTATTATTTTCCAGTTGTTTTTTTCCATTCTTCCTATCACAAATACAGCATAGAGAAGACTTGATTGGAGAACATTTCATTTGAAAAAGAACTAGGGGCTTTATTTGACTGCAGTATTCAGTAGGGTAGTGTGGTTTCCAAAAAAGCCAATGTGTCCTAAGGCTACATTTATGGAATAAGTTGTCCTACTCATGCTGTTCTGGTCAACGCCCATTTGCAGTGTTATGTTCTTGGGTATCACATGTTAAAAGGGTTGTTAATCAGTGAGAGTGCATACAGAGGAAATGATTAGGATGGTGATGACACTTAAAACCAAGAGTTGTGATGGTTGGGGTAGGAATTGAGTATGTTTAACCTGAAGAAGTCCCAGGGAATGTGACAATATTATTTAAATATTTGAAAGACTGTCTTGTGAAAGAAAGATTCGATTCATTTAGCATAGCCCCAAAGGGACTTGAACCAGTGGTGGAATTTGCAGAGTGGCAGATTTTAGCTCAATATAAGAAAGAACTTATTAATATTTAGAATTTTCTGCCAATGAAGTAAACTGCATCTTAAGGTAATGAATTCTCCATCATTGGAGATATTCAAGAAGATGCTGACTGACCGCTTATTGGGAATATTATGGAAAGGTCATTCATTAGGTGGTGATCTGGATTAGTGAATTTCTTATATCCCTTACTAATAATCCCTATTCTGTAATACCCTAGCTTGAGCCTTAATTCACTGGTTTTTATTCTACTTCAGTAATTGTATAACTACTGTATACTCCATATTCTGTGCCTCCAGATTTTTTTCCCTTCCAATCCATCCCACACATTATAATGAAACTAATGTTCTAACAACTTTATTTTAATCACGTTCCTTCATTGCTCAGTGGTTATCCATTGCCTAGAGGATAAAGTCCAGATTTATTTTGATATTTGAAACTTCCCCAGCCTCATCCCAAATTAGGTGCTAGGTAGGACAATGGGTAGAGTGCTGGACTGGAGTTAGAAAGCCTTGAGTTGAAACTTGACCTCAGATACTCACTAGCTGTATGACCCTGGGCAAGTCATTGAACCTCTGTATGCCTTTTTGGTTTTCATATGCTTTGCCTTTTCTACCCTTCTATGACATATGCTTCCACATCTGAAATGCCCTATCCCTTCTCAGTGTCTTCTTAAATCCTGCCCAGTCTTCCCTGAGCACCCCTGCTGAAGTGATTGCTTAGTCCTTGAACTCTCCAAGTACTGACTATGGGGTTGATTTGACAATCATCCTTTATTGTTTAACTTTTCACATATTAATATCTTGTCTTTCCAATGAGATAAGCTCCTTGAGGACATAGACCTCTCATACTTCTTTGTATCTTCCCATACAACTAGCACAGCCTCTGCTTATGCTAGGTGCTTGATGATGGGGATTTATATCTGTGTTTACAATAAATCACCTGGAGAAGGGCAAAAACAGACTTATCTCTATTTGTCAAATACAATTATCAGATAGAGCAAGGCTCTAGAGGATTTTGAATAAGAAAAAAAATCCTCTTATGGGTGTTTTTTATTTGTCAGAATCCACAAGTTTGGGTGATTATTTTTTCAAGTTTGAGGACTCTATTGAGACTAATATTGTGCAGGGTTTTCAGTGAGGAAAAAAAGATAATATACACATACTCAAAGTAAAATATTTGAATTTTATTCTTTGCAGGTCCTGCCTTCCTTTTATGACAAACTATAGTTTTCATTGCAATGTGTGTCATCACAGTGGGAACACCTACTTCCTCCGAAAGCAAGCAAGTAAGTACAAATCCTATAACAGTGTGGAAATGGGGAATGTTTTGGTCTGCTACAAATGAGAGGTTGAGAAGGAGGAGAAAAGATGGGGCATAGTTAAACCAGGAGACCACCTACCGCTTTGCTGCTTGCTCCCTGAGGTTCAGAGGCTGAGGTTTATGCAGCCTGTCCACTGGCAATGAGTTGTCCCTTCACCATCTTCAGTTCAACTGATGGCCATGCTCTTGCTGGTAGATGTCTTTTTTTATGGAGTACTTCACATAAGAATTTTGAGTTGAATATCTATTTGACTTTGGGGACATATCTGTTATAACAGATTAAATCTTTTTCTTCTTTTCCCTTCAAAGACTTAAAAGAAATGTGCCTTAGTGCTTTGGCCAACCTGACGTGGCAGTCCCGAACACAGGATGAACATCCTAAAACCATGTTCTCCAAAGACAAGGTAGAGTTGTCCCATTCCTTCTCGCATCAGTAATATGGTAGCTCCAAAAAAAATCAGGTAGAACTTTCTGGATATGAGCTTTAAGAATACTTGCTGAATTTCAGAATAAAGTCTGACCTTAGATTCAAGTTCCATGTTTTTCACTTGTTCTGTTTAATTTTTTTTCTGTGTTATGATGTTACATGACTTGTAGAGAAGCAGTGTGGTATGGTGGATAGAGAGCCAACTTGTGAGTCAGAAAGACCTTAATTCAAATTCTGCCTCTAGACAGACAGCTGTGTGACTTTGAGCAAATTGCCTAACCTCTTGCCCTCAATTTCTGTGTCTATAAAATGAGGAAATTGATCTTCATGGCTTCTAAGGTTGCTTCCAGCTCAAAATCTGTTATTCTGTCATCGTCATCATCATCATTATTAGCAGCAACAACAACAGCTTGAAAAACACAAAGTTCTTTACCTCCACTTAAATGCTGAATCAATCAATAAGGTTTTTTTTGAGGGCATAATATGTGCCTGGCATACTTAGCTGTGCCCTGTGGCAGATGAGCCACTGTACGATATGATCCCTGCCCTCAAGCAGTTTATAATATGGGTGCAGAGCCAAGTCTTTTGCATAATCAGCAATTAGATAATTCTGTAATTGCATCAGTAAGTGCTAAATTGCATGATGAATTTTATAGGAGCTAAAAAAAAGAAAGGTGGAAATCTGAGGAAAAAGTGGAAATTCAAAGAAAACTGTTCAGGGTTCATAGTGGGCCTTTTGAGTTTGATGAGTTTGAATGTAAGTTTTTCAAGGATAGGAACTGTTTCATTTTTGTCTTTGTACTCTCAGCACCTAAACCAATACAAGGCACTTGTCTGGTGCTTAACAGGTCTTTGTTGTTTGAATGATTGGATAGGGAAAGATTTCGATGGTGTGTGGACACACCATTTTAGTGATTCTAGTCTGAACAGCATGAACTTTCCAACATAGGCCTGTTGATCTTCTCCCTGTACACTGCATATATCACGTTTATCATTGTTTTCCTTACCTCTGTGCATGGTATATGATGAGCAGTTAAAAACATTATACTTCTGAGGAGTCCATAGGGAAGCCCATGAACAAAAAAGGTTAAGAAGCTTTGCCTAACAAGTTATTTTTCTCACTGGATTTTTGGTCTAATAGCACACTAAGACAAAATTAGTGTCTACAAAGGCATTACCTTTAAAGAATTGGGATTTACCTGTTTTGGAAGAAGTTTGGGTTTGTCTGTCAGCCTGAAAAATGTTCATCTGCCAGTTTTCGATGGCATTTCCTTTATTTAGACCCATTGGCCAGAGTCTTTTCATTGTGCTATGAATTGTTGACTCAGCAAAACCAACCCAAAAAGGAAAACATACTCCTGAAGAGCTTAGTACCTGCTCTTCTGGGATGTCATCCTCCACGTACGTCGGGGTCTGGCAGCTTTGAATCGGCTCTGGCACTGAAGCGGTGTTTGAGACCAGCTTTTCAGCCTTCTGCATGTCCCTTTAATAGACTTTTAGAAGTCAATCAAGAAGCTGACATCCAAGGAGAGTGAAACTTCAATTGTGTGACAGCAGTTTTTCCTTTGATCTACCCCCTAGGTTTTTATTCCATGGACATGTTTCCTTGCCCCCTCTTGCTCTTTTATTTTATATGGCCATAGTAACTATGTCCTTAATTTGATAATTGTGCAAGTCAATTTCATTAATGTCCATAGACGGAAAGTTACTTTAGATATATTTGATACTAAATTCAATTAGGAAAACCAGATTATGCTTCTATAATTACCACAAAGCCAAAATGATTTGTTGTAAAACAACAAAATGCACAAAAAAAGTTAGTGGGAAATAAAATTACTTGAGGAATATAATGCTTACTTATTTTGTGTTTAAATCTTTGCAGTATATTTTCTGTTATTGACAGTGTAACGGAAATACTTTTTTAGCCATGTAGACCATGTGACCAGTCCAGAGTATATGAAAGATGACTTTGTTAACTTGTATGAAATACTAGCCAGAAATGATGGATGACAAGTCATAATTTTGCATGTTATTTACACTTAAATCAGTTATATTATCTGTTAGCTAAATTGGCTTGTTTCCTTTGTGTTTTAACATTCTTTTTTCATCAAATTACAGTGCTATAAATGAGTTGTCTTTTTTAAACAAAGAAAAATTGTTTGCAAAAGAGAGGGTGGTTTTTTTTTAATCTGTGTAAAAAAAATGTGGGCTTTTGGAACAGGTGTTCTGGTTTCCCTTATATCATATGGAAAAGAATCCTAGACTTGGAGGCTGTGTGAGTTAATTTTCCCAGTCTGATTCAACCTTAATGGGACATCACAATTCTGAACCTAAAGAGTTAAGAGGCCAGACCTTGAAGTACAGATAACTGGAAGCCTTGAAGTGTAGCCCCAAATAGCCTGCCAACATACTTTAAAGGTCTTTGGAGAATTTATGTGACAGTGCACATATAGGTTTGGTGTTGCCAAAATACTCTAAAGGTCTTTGGAGGATTTATGTGACAGTGCTCATGTAGGCTTAGTGAAAAAAAAAATTTAGAAGGAGCGTTTAGGGTTAAAGTCACTTAATAAAATGAACTTGATTAGTCTCCCTGTGGTCTTCCCCAGATAAATCGTCAGCTCCTTGATGGCAAATGTGATCTAATACTTCTTGGGGTCCCTCTGTTCCTAGCACAGTGTCTTGAATATAGTGTGTACTCAGTACATAATAACTAAAATAGTGAACAGTCCATGCTTAGCTTCTCCCTTTCGTTTGGAAGATTTAAAACATTTTTTAATGTAATTGTTTTTCTTTTTCTTCAGTACCAGTGATGTTTAAAACAGTTATAAAGATATTAACTCATCTTTGTTTTTAAAATTAGGATATTATACCATTCATTGATAAATACTGGGAATGCATGACCACCAGACAGAGACCTGGGAAAATGACTTGGCCCAACAACATTGTTAAAACAATGGTAAGTAAAAGAAAATTGAGGAAATTAGATATTTGAAAAGCTAGTTTCCTTTAGAGGAGTTTTATTCTTCCTAGTTTTTCTCTATGTGCTAGCATAAAGGAAGCGAGAACAGCTGGACAGGGGCACCTAGATGGTGCAGTGGATAGAGCACCAGCCCTGGAGTCAGGAGGACCTGAGTTCAAATCTGGCCTCAGACACATAGTGCTTCCTAGTGTGACTCTGGGCAAGTCACTTAACCCCAGTTGCCTCACCAAAAAACAAAAACAAAAAAAAAGAACAGCTGTGTAGCCAGTTATTGAGAATGAGCAAGAATAGGCTGCAAATGTGAATTTAATTAGTTTGTAAGTGGATCTTGTTCAGATGGAGGTGAGACAGGGTTTCTCACACCGTTCATAGAGTAGGATTTGTATAGGTGTATATAATACACCTTCAGCTTCTGGAAGTCTTAGGCAATATGTTAGAAATTTATACAAACGTATATAATTTTGCATAAACATACACAGACCCAAACCAAACCATAACCCGGAATATAGAGGGCCCTGGGTTGCTTTTTCTTCAGATGAATAGGCTCTTTTAAGCACTGTTCACCATTAATTCATGTCCTTGTCACCTGCCTGGGCACATTACTCATCAATCTCTCCTCACTCCAGTGCTGAAGTGATTTTCCTGGAGTGAAAATCTGACTGTTCCACCCTCCCATTCCATAGGTTCCATTGGCTCCCCAGCATCTTCAGGACCACTCCCTCCCTCCATAAACTCCTTGTGCATGTTACACACACAGCAGTCTGTCACCTGTTGTTTTACCTTTGTGCCCCCACCTCTGGACAGTCCACCTTCTCCAGCTCCTCTGGGAATCCTGGGTTTCCCTCAAGACTCAGGTCGAATGCCAGCCCATGCCTGGGGCTTTCCCCATCAGTTACCATCCACCCACGTCATATGTACCTGGGCAAGGGCACATCATATGCTATATGAGGATGTGTGTTCCCCCCCAGGGCTCAGCCTATTTAATTATTTCTTACAAGCCCTGACATCTGGCATGATCTCCGGTGTGTAGTGAGGGCTTAATAACTTAATAGTAAAGTTGGTTAGGAGACACTGACATTTTTGTGGTTGGTGATCTATTCAGAAACTGCCTGCTTTTAATGCTCAACTCTTCCTTCTTTCCAGAGTAGAGAAAGGGACGTATTTTTGGTGAAGGAACATCCAGACCCTGGAAGTAAAGACCCGGAAGAAGATTACCCCAAATTTGGGCTCTTGGATCAGGTGCACTGGTTTATATTGTATCATGAGGAAAGAGCACTAGGCTGGGAGATGGCAGATCTAAGCTCTAATCAGGGTTCTACTTCAAGTTTCTTGTTTGTAGCTAATCTCTAAGAATGCTTTCAGAGTGAGTATTCTGTGTTTCTGTGTACTTAAAAAGCATTCTTTGGTTTTTGAGAAAGATCTTGTCAGAGCTCTCCAGCTAAGGGGTAACGACTTGGCTCTGGTATTCTACAAATCTCAGGCCTTTTCAGGAATGTCACTTCCAGTTCCTCTGTGCTATTTTAATTCCTTCTCTATCTTCTCTGGAGCATCTGCCTCCGTGGACTTGATTTGATGGAGATGTTTTAAGAGATTTGTTTTTAAAATTCCATGTTTTCTTCTAGGATCTTGGTAATATTGGCCCAGCTTATGACAACCAGAAGCAAAGCAGCACAGTATCTACTAGTGGAAATTTAAATGGCAAGTGTTCAGTTGTTTTTTTTGTTAAAATATTTTTAAGATATTAAATAGGAATGCCTACGGAAGTCTTAGGGTTGGAAAGATCAATTGATAGCTATTCAAAATGATTCCTTTTTTAAATAGTCACTTTATATTTTGTAGCTAGGCAGTTGGGTAATTTAGTAGGACTTTTTGTTACACTGTAAACCACAGGTGGACTAATGTTTTTCATTTGGAGTCAAATTTAGTTATTTTTATTATTTTGAAGCCATAATTAATGGATGACCACCAGGTGACAGCTTTTGGTTTTTCCTTGACAAATTATGAAAACAGGCCAGTCAGGGTTGGGATCCACCTAGGGCAAAGAAGTCCCCATGCCAGGGAAAGTCCAGATCCTTGGAAATAACTCCAGCACTTCATTTTAAAGAGCTTCATTGCTTCATTTAAAGCTTCATCTGCTTTAAAGAGCTTCATAACATTTACCCTCAGCCTTTACTTTCGTTTGTAAGTTAATTACCTTCCTGTTCTGTAGGTCCCATTTTCCTCTTTTTCTCATTCTGAGATTTTAAGTTGTTCGAGAGTTTTATTCAAATTCAGCCTTTGTGTATTGATTACTTTCTGACAGTTATTTTTCCTTTTTGTGACCAGTCTCCATACTTGAAAGGAATTTATGTTCAGGTGACCTCAAGTGAAGGGGGTGGCTAGAAAATGGGCAGGTTTTCATTGTGGAACCATCACTTGCCTCTTAGAATACTCATGTCTTCTTGAATTTCTAAGGTTTTCCCACTGCTTTAAAGATTTTCTTAAGACAAAAATTAGTGAGGATGTTGTTTGTTTCCTTTCAAACACTGACTTTTTTTTTCTCCTTTAGACTTGTTAATATTTGACAAATACATGGTGCCACTTCTGTTCTTACAGGTGGAGCCTCTTTTGGAGGTGAATATTTACCTCTCAGCCTCTCAACCTTAAGTATTGTGTGGTTTGGAAAGTGCTTTTTTGCTCAGTTGTCCTAGAAGCTAAAACCAATTTTAGAAAATCTAAAGCATTCTTAAAATGGTGACCCTAGAACTTAATATGAGACTGTAATTTCAGTTTTAATGTTAGTAATTAGAAGCTTTTACACTGTCATATTCTGCCTAGCATGGCCAGTCTTCTCCTTAATGCCTTTTGCTCTGTTCGAAATAATTGGATTCAAAACATCACTAAAAGTTAAAATGTAAAATATACCCCCCAAAATGCCAAATGTGTTAGGGTAACCCAAATTAAACTAGAAGCATTCGGGTCCTTTTTTAATAATCAAAAACCTTTGTGAGGAACCAGATGAACTCTTGTTATAATTTAAGAATTTAATTCTTTAATACCCCTTCACCTGCTTGTGCAGAATATGATCTTGTTCTTTGACCTTGTTCCTTTTTTACTGCAACAGGGGTATGCTGATATTTTACAAGCTTGCTACACTTTTAGATACTGTACTCTATGCAGTTGTTGTTTATATAAAGGTGTTTGCCTACAGTTCCATAAAAAAAAAATTTTAACTAACTTCATTTGAGAGAAATGGGCAGAACTATACTGATTCGTTATTTCAGAACTACCCAAGCTACTAGTCTAGTGTGTGTATATTTCTTTGTCTAGAAAATGTATGTGTGTGTGTGTATGCATATGTATATATATATATATATATATATATATATATATATATATATACACACACACACATACATACAGACAGACAGACAGACAGACAGACGTATACACACACATACTCCCACCAATACTTTAATTTAATACCACAGCCCAGGTTTAGTCTATCTTGAATCTAATATTTTGACAACTCAGTACATTACTGTGAAGTATATCCAAAAAAAATCTTGCTAAATTTTAAAGCCTGTTTTTAATTGTGTAAAATTGATATTCTTCATGTACCTAAAGTGGTCACAATGGAAATTGACTAGGCAGCACTGGAGAGAAACACCTTTTTAGTGCTTTCGTTTTTGTTTTTCCTTGTTTGGTGTATTTGGTTGAACATTGAAATTAAGTGCTTAACTGCTTTAGCAGGTACTGTGTTTTTATTATGCTTATGGGATGTGTACCATGTGCTGTTAAAGCAAGTGGAAATCTGCTTACAGTGAGGCTAGTCTCTTTATGTAAATGTTTGTTCTGATTTTGATGGGAAAAAAGTCTTTAATTGTTTTCATTCTTTTTAGCACTGGGTATTTGGAAACTCCATGAATGAAATTGCACTTGTCAGTGTCCTCAGAAAGGGAACTACTAGTTGTGTTTTATTGAGAAAGAAAAGCTTGTTTTTGTGTGTGCATATTTAGAGTGTTTAGTGGCTTGAATCCTTTTGGTCTAAGAGGAGCACTTAAAAGACTCAATTCAGCATGCATCTATTATTCTGTGCACAGAACCACAAAGTATTTTGCTATACCTTGAAGGGAGCCAAAGTTTAGTGGAGACAGGGTCCCTGCCCTCATGGAATTTGCCGTCTAGCAGAGTCATTCAGAGTCAGGGTGAAATCACATGTGTTGTCCTTTTAGAAAGGCTGGTTTGGTGCAGCACAAATGCACTCCAGCCTTTTAGTCCCCCTGGGAGGTTCTGCCCTCAGCTCATGTCTCCCTTCTGTCACAGCCAATTGATAGTGAACTTCCCTCTCTTTCTAAGGCGGAATTGCAGCAGGAAGTAGTGGAAAAGGAAGAGGAGCCAAGCGCAAACAGCAGGATGGAGGGACCACAGGAACAACTAAGAAGGCTCGAAGGTAAAGAGAAACACCAGTATACCAGTTGGCCCTGGCACTAGCCTTGTTAGCAAAAGAGGCATGTTCTGTAATGGTTAAATGGGAAAAAGAATCTCTTCATCATTTAACCTCCTAAACCAGGAAAGACTTAGAAACAAGCTATCCTGTCTGCTCTGACTGGTCATTGCAAAGCAGACTCTCCCTAGGGCAATGCTACTTGCCATATCCATTCCCTGCTGTTTGTTCTGTGTCCTTTTTGGGTGTGTTGGGATGAGAATCACAAGAAGTGAGAACTATAGGATCTTGACAAAGGGTAAAAACGGGGAATAGGGAAGAAGGAGTGAAACCAATATTCGTTGTGATGTTCTTGGGTAGTGTATTCTGTGCTTTCCCTCATGTCCCTTCACTTCTTCCTTGTCTTTGGTCCAGATGTGAAAGCTGATACCAACTGTGTCACTCCTTAACCAGGCTGACAGCTATAGCCATAGTTGATGGCAGAACAGTTACTCAGTAACACAAACATCTCACCTTTTCCCCTTATTTTTCCATTGCCCTTTGACACACACAATTTCATACTAAAAGGCTCTGTGATCCATCCTTTATAAGGATAATGCTTCCACTTGTGCATATTGCCATCCTTCTGCAATTGAGTAAGTAATTAAATGTCCTGCTATGGCCCCAAAATTCATCATCTGGTAGTCTTTCCTTTAGTGCAGTCTTTTCCAAACTTAACAAGGCTAGGCCTGAAAATATAGTCCACTGCTGGGACCATACTCAGAACCTTTACAGCTTGATAGAATCTGCCTTCTTTCAGTATGGTTTTCAAGAACCACAGTGAGGCATCAGAGTCAGACTACACAATAACTCTCTTTAAAAAAAAAAGCTTTTATAGCATCTCAGAGACTCCCACAAATACCAGTCATATGCCTTTTATTTCAAGCTAGCCTATAAACCACCTAGAAGATGACCATCAGTTGTTGAGAGGTTGTTTGAGAACCAGTGTCCTAAATAGATAACCATTCTTTTGTTTGCCTGTAGGAAACAGAATGATACATTCAAAGAATAAAAACCATGTGGGAATTGTGAATGTGTTTTTAGAAGAAATCTGATCATGCAAGAAAATCTTTATATATTATTGAGCTCTGAACTAAAGAGGACACTAGCTTCTTGTATTTTTTTTTCCTTTCTCCAGTGACCCCTTGTTTTCTGCTCAACGCCTTCCCCCTCATGGCTATCCATTGGAACACCCATTTAACAAAGATGGTTATCGGTACATTCTCGCAGAACCAGACCCTCATGCCCCAGATCCTGAGAAACTGGAACTGGACTGTTGGGCTGGGAAGCCTATTCCAGGAGACCTCTACAGAGCCTGCCTCTATGAACGAGTTTTGTTAGCGCTTCATGACCGAGGTGTGCAATATGCCTATCATACCAAAACACAGTCAGGTGTCATTTAGAATGGATATCATTAACTTTGTCCCTTAAGAAGTTCACTCCATATCAAACTCTGTTCCTTCAGTATTTAAAAGATCCACGATGTCATGTCTTGGTGAACTCCCTCAGCCAGTGAAGGTCACTGGCTCTTCCTGACTTTGCTAGGCAGTCTTCATGAGTAGTTAAACCTTTAATGAACCTTTCCATATTTAGCTGGGTTTGCCTTGAGATGAAATATACATTATCCATCAACCTGTCTAGCTTGGGAGGGCCAACCAGAGATTGTGCTGTGTTGCATAGCCTTTTGAGAACCACAGATCATCTCCACTTCACAGTGAGGCATCAGAGGACCTGAGTGGAGACTTCTACTTCATTCAGTACTTAAGTATCTCTAATTTCAGTGTGTAGTTGTATGTTTAAACTGCCAGACTTTCTTGTGTCCGAATGGGTTCCATTGAAATCCAAGGACTTTGCCTGTGTGTGTGGTTTGTGTGCCTCCCTGTACCCTTTCTCAGTAAGGAAGTGATTGGAGTCAAAGGACTTCAATCTGAACGCTAGCTCTGCTGCTTTCTAGGCTTGTGGCCTGCCCAGCCAAATTAATTTACCTTTTCAGTTTCCTTCTCTGGAGAATAGGAAAAATATTTGTGCTCCTCACCTCACAGACTTGTCATGAGGAAAACACTCAAAGAAAACTGTGTATAAATATGAGTCATTATCCTCATTAGTAATAAGAACAGTTAGCTCTTTAAGCAGTCTTTTTCTGATCTCCATCGCTACAGCTCCTCAGCTAAAGATCTCAGATGACCGACTGACTGTGATTGGAGAGAAGGGTTATTCAATGGTTCGAGCCTCACATGGAGTTCGGAAAGGTGCCTGGTACTTTGAGATCTCAGTGGATGAGATGCCCCCAGATACGGCTGCCAGGCTGGGCTGGTCCCAGCCTCTCGGTAAGCTTCTGTTCCAGCAGGTGGCAATAAAGGCTCCTTGTGTCCCAGGGCTGGTCTAGACCAGTGGAGCTAATTCAGAGGGAATTTTGTGCATGGCCACCAGCCAGAATTCTGATGAGCATCTTGTACACTTTGATTTGATACTCCTGTGAATGCTTTGATTACTGAGCATTTGCCCTATGTAATTATTGTCTCAGAAACATTGAGAGGGGCCGTTTTAAGAAACTGAAGCAAATCAGACAGATATTTAAAGAGAACCAATACTGTAGGAAGCCCTAGTTGACCTGACTCTCTGACTCCCATGTATTTTGTTGGGACAGGTAACCTCCAAGCTCCTCTGGGCTATGACAAATTCAGTTATTCATGGCGGAGCAAGAAGGGGACCAAGTTTCATCAATCCATTGGCAAGCGCTACTCCTCTGGCTATGGTCAAGGTGACATACTGGGGTTTTATATCAATCTTCCTGAGGAGACAGAAACCGCCAAGTCTTTGCCTGACACCTATAAAGATAAGGTCAGTGTTCCCCTTCTCACAGATTCCCAGTTCTTATTTTACTGTCATGATGGAGGTATCAAGCAGACCCATTGTCGTTTTTCAATTTTTTTTGTTTTTTATTTTCTAGTGTTTTGTTGATGCCTTTTGATTTTTATATCCTAATAAACCCTTTCCCCTTCTAACAAAGAAAAATAAGTAAAACCAACACAGGAATAGTATCCTGCCTTTCTACCAAGAGGAAGAAGATGTGTTTCATTATAATTGCTTGTGGTTTAAATTTCCAAGCTTAGAGAGAGATAGCAGTAGTTCTGAAACTTACTATCTATGGGAAAATCATTCAATCTCTGAGCCTTAGTTTCTTCATCTGTAAAATGGGGATAATACTTGCACTATGAATCTCTGATATGAATAGTTGTTATTGTTACTATCTTCCTCTTCATTATTATTATAATAGTCAAAGTCCAGCAGGGTGCTACACTGAGTGGGGAAACTGAATTAGAATCTAAATCTTAGTTGTTATGTTCTAGAGTCCTGATAAATTGACTTCTAGAAGGCACTTTAGACTAATCACAAATTCCCACTATTAATAGTGAGTACAAATGGAGTAGACTATGCCTTAGAAAAGAAAGGGGACTCTGAGGTGGTAGTATATGAGGATTGTACAATGGAAAGTTACCTATTTAATTTTGGTCAAGTAAGTCTGGGCCTCTCATCATTTCATCAGGTCTCATGAAATACTGTCATTTGAGGTGGAAAGTTGAGAGCAGTAGAACATGGTTCAGAAAATCAAGTGTTAGGGGCAGCTAGGTGGCGCAGTGGATAGAGCACTGGCTCTGGAGTCAGGAGGACCTGAGTTCAAATCCGGCCTCAGACCAAACACTTGACTCTTACTACCTGTGTGACCCTGGGGAAGTCACTTAACCCCAACTGCCAAAAAAAATTAAAAAAAAAATAAAAGAAAAAGAAATTCAAGAGTTAGTGTGATTCAACAGCATGTTTTCTAGCTCTGTTGTAACTGCTGTGGCTTAGGAAACGCAGTTGAAACATTGTGCCCCTAATTGCTGCTTCAGACAGTCTAAAGGAATAGAAGAAAGAGGTGCTTTAGACAACACTCTTTTTGTCATTATCCAGAGGTATTGGACCTGGGGGGTCCATAACGTTGTTTTTTAAAAAATATTTTGACATACTTCATCTTCTCTGTAATCATAATTGATCAGAATTCTTAAGTCTTTCAAACCAATATTGTTGGTTTCCTTTTTAACCCCATGTATTTTATTTTAAACATTGAAAAACATGATTCTGAGATGGGGTCTGTCCATAAGCTTCATCATACTGACTGCCAGAGAGGTCCATGACACAGAAAAGGTCAAGAACTTCTGCTATATCCACAGATAAATTCTACAAGCTCTCACATACACAAGCTTAGATATAACATAAATCCCAGTTTTATTTTTGGTTTTTATGAAGTGTAGACACACAAGATTCAAGATTCAATAATTCAAGATTGAATAAGCAAGAGTCCATACTAAACTTATAAAAGGTCAGCAGATGTCTTTATGGCAATTTTTCATACAGAATATGTACTATATTACTTCTTGGGAAGTGAGGAAGACAGTTGTGAAATCAATCCGTGGTGAGTGTCTTGGTGCCTGAAGAGTTTTGAATCACTATCCCAGAGTGCCAAGACTGGGCACCAACTATGTGTTGTTTTGTTATTTCATACTAGAGGTAATGTTTCATGACTTGCTTTCTCTCTCTTTTGCTTTTCAAGGCTTTGATAAAGTTCAAGAGTTACTTATATTTTGAGGAAAAGGATTTTGTGGATAAAGCTGAGAAGAGCCTCAAGCAGACTCCCCATAGTCAAGTGAGTTAAACTTTTTACTTGAATAAACTAAAACAAAAGTTGGCAAATTATGGCCCTTGGGTCAAATGTGACCCATTGACCATTTTTGCATGGCCCACACTTTAAAAATAGTTTTTACATTTTTTAATGAAGATGTATTTAAAAACTTGTGGACCATAGTTTGCCCAAAAGTTCCTTTGGGAGCAATCCAGAGAAAAAGAGTCTAGAGAAGACAGCATAGAAAACACAATAAAGTGAGCATCTGTGTGAGATTCAGCATGAAGAGTTATGCTACTTTGCCTTAAATGAGAGTGACTTATACCCAGACATGTTACAGTGGAAAGCTCTTAAGACTAGAAAGCAAGAGACCTTGACCTTGGACAGGTCACTCAACATCTAGGGTGACTCCCTTTTCTCATCTGTATGATGAGGATAAAAGTACCTGCTCCCATGTAGCTCACAAGGCCATTGTAAATATAAAACTATTCAAAATCATGGGAGACTAAAAAGGAGGTATGTGTAGCTGAGCCAATGTCTAAGGGTCAGATGGGGGCATGAAACAACTGAGCCGGTAGTATCTGGCCAAATGAATATGCAGAAGTCATCTGGAGTTTTAAGAAAAAGAGAGGATAAAAAAAAAGTGGAGTACTTTAGTAAGAAATGTGGGGAAATAAATAAGATGGATTCCAGAGCATCTTATTAAAAAAAAATAGAAGAAAATGAAGTATATGGACATAAGCAAGAAAACAAAGAGAAAGGAAGAAGTTCCTACATTCGATGAAGCTGGCTGAACCTGCTTCAGAAGAACCCACCTTTTCTGAGGACAAAGATGCTGAGGGGTGGATAGAGAACCTAGAGAAATTAATCAAGAGATAGCTTGTGAGAGAACAGACCTGGTAGAGAAGACTTCAAAGCTCAGTGAAGGATCTGTTAAGCACCTGCTATGTGCCAAGCACTGGGCTAGGCAGTGGGGATCCAGGTACAAGAATGAAGCAATTCTACTTGCAGAGAGCTCACATTCATACAGGAGGTGGAGATGAGGGCAGAAAAGGAATGAAAAGAGGTAATTGGAACATGACCTCAAAAGAGTAAATAGTCTTACAGACATGTTATAAAGCACAACAGAAAGTAGAAATATGTAATCCAAAGAGCTTAAGCACAGTATGCTGGAGACTTAGCCACTAGGGCTCTGAAGGAAGAATTCCCTGAGCCAAAGGGAACAAGAATTTATTGGATTTGTGAGAAATTTTTGTCTTTTGGTGGTGGATTTCAGAAAAATTGCAAATATGTTTAGCATGTACATATACCTTTCCTGATAAAAAGAATATGAGTAGATGAGAATAATAGGTGTGAAAATGCTTTGAAACTTAGGAAGTGACATACAGACATAAAGCTTAATTACTGTTATATGAATGAACTTTATCTAAGCCAGAATGTATTCCTTGTACCTTATTGCCCATTCTTAGAGTGCCTTCAACCCAGTATGTTCTTGAGAGACATTAAGTACTTCTAAGAGTTTTCCCAAAGCCATTGTTTTTTTAATTGAATTTTATTTTTTTTCAGTGAGCAAAAATCAGTTTTCTTGCCCTTACTCTCCTTCCACCCCCAATTGAGGAGGGAAAAACCTTTGTAGCAAATATCATAGTCAAGTAATACAAATTCCTACATTGGCCATATCCCAAAAAAAATTGTGCATTCTATCCCTAAGAGTCTGTCACATCTCTGTCAAGAAGTAGGTAACATACTTCATCATCTGGAAGAGTAGCATAACTCTGGAGTCATAGTTGGTTATTGCTTTGATTGGAATTCTTTTAAGTCTTTCCAGTTCATTTGTTCTTACATTGTTATTGTTAAATGCTGTTCCCATTGTTCTGCACCAGCTTGTACAAATCTTTCAAGGTTTCGCTGAAACCATATCTTTTCACCCTTTTTATGGTGCAGCAGAACTCCGGTAATGTGCCTGGCTGTTCCCCAGTCCGTGTACACCACTCAGTTTTTCAGGTCTTTGCTGTTACCCAAAGGGCTGCTATAAATACTTTTGCACCCATGGGTCCCTCTCCTCTCTCTTTGTTCTCTGTTGGGGGACAGGCCAAGGAGCTAGGGCATGTACAGTTTGATAATTCTTGGGCATCCTTCTAAGCTAGTCATTGGATTTTGATCTTGCAGATAATATTCTACAAAAATGGTGTCAGCCAAGGAGTGGCCTACAAAGAAATTTTTGAAGGGGTCTACTTTCCTGCTATCTCATTGTATAAAAGCTGCACGGTAGGTCTAAGTGTCATCTCATGAAACAAATCTAGGGATGGTGGGGGAGAGAGCAGTTGTTAGAATCTGCAAGAGAAATCAGAATAGGTCTGGTGGTAGGATGAGAGTTTGTTTTTAGTTAAGAAGATGGCAGTATTAAATGCTTTAGAATCGGTCCTGAATCCTGGGGATTTTATGGCAAGGATAAAGTTTGTGGTCCTTGTCATTGCCAGTTTCTCACTTATGTGCATAGAATGAAAAGGATGACCCAGCTACATAGACATCATTTTGATCTTTTGTGACATAGTATCATATTAATTTTTTTCGTTAGTAACCTTTCACTTTTCGTCCTACTTCTAGTCAGTTGCTAAGCCCTTTTTTTTTTTTTGCTAAGCCCTTTTGAATCTGTCTCTTTCATCTGTCCCTCCCTTTCTGCTTCCTCTGCAACCACCCTACTTAAGGTCCTCATTTTCACCCAGGCTATTGTCTTAGCCCCCTAACCATCTTCTTGCTCTCAGTCTCTCCCTCTCCATTTCATGCTGCCTGAATAATCTTCCTAGCATGTCACTCTGATTGTCATTTTTCTACTAAAAAGCCTCCAGTGGCTGCCCATTGGCTACTGAATAAAATATAAATTCCTACCTCTTAACATTCAAGACCCTCCATGAACAGGTTTCAGCTTACCTTTCCAGCCTGGTCTCATAACCTTCACCCCATCCTACTTCCTCTACATTCCAACCAAACTCTCATGTCTGTGTTTACATGTATTCTCCACCTCCATGTGTTTGTTCATGCCATCTCCACATACACCTATAATATACTCCTGTTCTCCATTCCTGCATAGTGAAGTCTCTTCCCTCTATTCAAGCCAGCTCGTGCAGGAAGCCTTTGTAGGCTTCCTTCCTCTTCATCTACCCCAGTTAAAAGTGGTCTTTCCCTGCTCAGAATTCTCACAGCACTCTGTCTTCGTGTTTCTTTTGCAAAGGTACAATGGAAAGTGGGCTGGATTTAGAATCCCCAAACCTAGGTTTAAATTCTGGTTCTGCCACTTAATAACAGTATAGCTCATTTCCTCATCTGCAAAATTATATGAACTTTGAGGTTCCTTCGAGCTCCAAATCTGTGATCTTATGATCCCATCCTCTTTTGCCTTGTGTCATTTATTTGCATATATATCTCTCTTTCCTTCTTGATTTAGACGTTCCTTGAGAGCACAATCTTTGTATCTTCCCCAGTGTATTTTCCCCACTCTGCTCTCTATAGAGTAGTACTTAATAAGTGTTTATTGAATTGGATTGAATAATAGGTGATTCTTGTCTTAATACCTATGTTCTCAATTTAATAGTTATAAAAGCTGCTGGCTTCACTGAGGACTATTATACCATCAGATGGTTAAACTTAGCAGAGTGAAGAATAATACTTAGAACTAAACCTTGGATATGGGGTCAGAATTCAATAAATTTAATTAAAAATATTAAGTTTCTACCATGTAGAGCTACTGTAAAGCTCAGGTATTAAAATTTGCCACTTATAAGCTGGGCAAGTCACCCCTTTGAGCCCCAGTTTCCTCAACTCTAAAATGAGCATCTGTAAAATAAATACTTCTACCTTCCTCCTATAATTATCAGTATCATATTTAGGGGTCTGATGAAGTATTGTGTGTCAAGCATAAACTGTAAGTCTATAAATATAAATTGTTGTTATAGTAGTAGTCAATTATTTGTTGAATGACTTGATGGCTACTTTTGTTCTTAGGCTAATAACTGAGCTTTCAATATTATTTTGGCGTATACTAACTACTACTGTGGCAAATTAAACAGATAATTAGGTAAAATTAGAAGACAGTGTAAGTATAATCTCCGAATTTAGTGGAAAACCTGAAGTGGAAGTCAAGAGATATTTGTCCTTGCTCTGTCGCTTTGACTAGTAGTATGATTTGGGGCAAGTCACATCACTTTTCTGGACTGTATTTTCCTTATCTGTAAAGCCAGAGGATTAGATTCTGTAATCTCTAAAGTTCTTTCAATTGTTAACATCTTAAGAGTTCTATAATTGGACAGCCCCCTGAACATCAAGGTTACATTTAATGAGAAAGAATCATCTAATGTGTATGTATCATGTACATGGAATTTCTTTCAGGTTTCTATCAACTTTGGACCCTGCTTCAAGTATCCTCCAAGAGATCTCACTTACCGTCCTGTGAGTATTGATTTAAAATGTCAGCATTGTTTCATCCATGTCTTATGCCGTGTTCTAATGATCTTCTTCCTGTTTGTTCTTCAACTTGCAGATGAGTGACATGGGCTGGGGTGCCGTGGTGGAGCACACGCTAGCTGATGTCTTATACCATGTTGAAACAGAAGTAGATGGGAGACGGAGTCCCCCCATGGGAGCCATAGCCAGGTTTCCCTGGTCTTGTTGGTCATAACTTTTCTGTGGAACAAAACTGGGTGGGTGTTATATAATTTCATTTTTTTTTAACAGTTTCAGATGTCCTCACCTTGAAAGGAACCGTGCAGAGCACAGCATCTCCTTTCTCAAGTTACATGATTAGGTTAGCAGTGGAGGGCGAGGACAGGCGACCTCTGTCCTCTGCTGTTGTCCCTTGTTTATGGATGAGTACTCTTCATCAGTGTACCATGCTCTGAAAACTCCTGACTCTTCAAAATCCAATGAGCTTCCTGTGAAATCGGTGCTGTGCCACATGTCATTAGATCTCAGGCTGCTCTTCCAGCCATATTTCTAACACTGAGGGAGTTGTCTCTTCCAAGCTGCTTTCTTGTTTAAATCCATATGTGAATATCAACTCTGTCCTATTCTTCAGATTTCTGCAAGGGGCAGCCGTTCCATTTCCAGGAGCAACTGAATTAGTGGTCTCTGCTGAGGAGCCTTGTGCTCCAACAGCTCTAAAACTTCATTTTTTGTGTGTTTTTTAATTTGTAAATAGCTTTCTTATACAGGGATCTCTGAAATGCCAAAACAGCCAGGTGCATGAAACTGTAATTGTGAAAGACACTCTTGCTTGTGACTTTTAAGGAATAATAACCAGTCTGAAATAAAACTTGAAAATGAGTTTGTTTGGCACTTTGTGTCTGTCTCTTAGACTAGATCTGTGGAACACAGTGCCTTTGACCTCCTTCCAGCAGGTCACGGAGGCTCAAGCAGTCTGGGGTAAGAGAGGTGCCATTGGGAGGGAAATGAGAGGTTTTGACTTCAGTCTTTTGCTGTAGTACTACTTTTTAGCCAACCTGGCTTCCTGTAATCTCAGAACAAAAAGATTTCCATTTCCTTTATTCAGCATTTGTCAATAGCCTACTTTGTACAATACAGTGTGCTGTGCTTGGGGGGTAAGTTAAAGACCTGGTCCCTGCTTTCAAACAATATAAAATGGGTAGGAATGACGAAGTACACAAATAACTGAAATACAAATTAGAGTGTGGCAAATGCGAAGGAGAAATCGTGCCATGCTATTACACGAGGAAGAAGTCATTGAGAGAGCTCAGATAAGCTAGATAGAGGAGGTGAAATTTGAGGAAGGCTTTGAAGGATAGACCGAAGATTTTTAATGGAGATAAGAGGAAATAGGATGCCGTGTGAGCAGGGGTGTGGGGGTGGGAAGGTATATAAGAATTGGATTATGAAAGGCCTTGAAAACCAGACTATTGAATCTGAATTATATTCTGTAGGCAGCAAAGAATCATCAAGATTTTTGATTAGTAAGGTAACATGATCAGACCTATGCACTTGTAAAATAAAGCTAGTAGGGGGCAGCTAGGTGGTGTGATGGATAGAGCACCGGCCCTGGATTCAGGAGGACCTGAGTTCAAATCCAGCTTCAGACACATAACACATACTAGCAGTGTGACCCTGGGCAAGTCCCTTAACCCCGACTGCCCTCACCAAAAAGAAAAAAAAAAAGGCTAGTAAGGTGGCATAGGCTAGATTAGAGTAGGAAGGGAACAGAGCTATGGAGACTGGAACAGGAAGTGATTGTGGAGTTTAGGAAGGGATGGGCGTAATGCTATGGTACGTTACCCTTTATTTCCTTTGCATATGGGCTTTGTTACATTTATCTGTTGTCCTATACTAAGTTTGCCTTCCTTTTTGAGAGTTGATGATTAAATGGCAGTTTGCCAGTGTACTTGAATAAAACTAAACCAAGAGGCAAATGTGATTTCCTCTTCTCTCTGTCCCCTTCCCCCAAGGTTAAATCAACTTCCCAAATGGTCTCCTTGACACTTTTTTGGAGCAAAACAGTACATCTGAGGAGCGCTTGGGCCTTGGTTTTGTGACCATGAATTGACTAACTTGGACAGTATATGATTCTCATGGTATTGTTCCAAAGTTGCTGACGGTAGCCTTCAACCCGGGGCTCCGTAAAGATGTAGGGGTAAAGTTTTCCCATTGCATAACAGTATACCGTACCTATGGGTTCACTGAGGAACCAAACCTATTTATAAGTAATAGGTATTGCATTATACAAATTTAAAGTCAGTGGTTATTGTAACATGAGTCACTTTTACTATGACACTCACAGTATGTACTGCTTCAGTTCTGGGCTGGTCATGGATAGGAAGGGATAAGTCCATTGAGGGGTAAAGTGATAGTGTTGGGGAACGAGAAGGGAGAAGGAGGGATTTGTGCTAGTCTGGTCCTAGATCACCAGCCCCCTAGCCTGAAGGACTGAGAATTGGGATGACGGTATCTAAAGGTGAAGTGAATTCCTTTGTAGTATTTTTCAAGTTTGCAAGTTTATATATTGGACTTTCTTACATCCCAGAGTTCACATGTAGAGAGATTTTGGTTATGTATGTATAGCATTGAAAATGTGTTTGTACTTTGGGAAGGTTATTTGAATGAGGACTGAAAACTCCTATAGTTCACATTCTTCTAAGGATGACAGTTAATATATTAGGATCAAACAGGTTGTTTTATTCCAAACCAAAATTAAAAGTCTTAAAACCATCTCAGAAGATTTCAAGCATAGTTATAGTCAGTTTGGGAGACAGCTGAAGGAAACCCTTCTTGAATTCCCATGATTGTTGAAATGCCACATTATGTTATACTGAAAAAACTTGGGCTCATCTCTTTAGGAGCCTGCTCTCCTTTCTCTTGAAACCAGCAATCATATTGCTGTCTTTTCTCATTTAAGGTTCCTTTGTAGATTTTTTTTAAACTGAGCTATCTTTTCTACTCTGAAAGTCAGTATTGGTTACATTCATACCATAATGTACTAGATAAATGTGAGCCATTACATTCACCTCCCTCTGTGATCTTTGGACTCTGGGCAGACAAGTCAATGTGACATTTCAGCCAACGCTAGAATGGCTGTTTGGCTCATGCTCCTTGGAATAATCAGAATAAATAGTAATAAATACCATCTTGTGTGGTTACACTTAAAGCAATAAATAGCAACATTCCCACTAGTATTTTGAATAAATAAAAGCTTTGTTTCCACATTGTGCAAACCTTCCATTGTATTAACTATTCCTTTTTGTGAAGTAGAGGGGAAAGTATTTGAGAGCAGATTTATTCTCTTTGTTGCTTGCAAATCTTTTTAACAACAACAAAAAGCCTACCCTAATCGAGAAGTGCCTAAAACTTGGAAAAAGACCTTGCTACACTCACCTAAAAGTCAAGTATTGATTTATTAATATAGAAATTTTAGCTGAAAAATTGGTAGCTGTATATCTTTTAGGCCTAAACAGCATTTTAAAGATGGGCATATGTTGACACAGATCTACTCTCCTAAAGTCCCCTGAAGTCATGACCTATAAGGCAGAACACAAAGTTTACTAGCCTTGAATATCCAAAACAGAAACATGGGGAGATTAGCTTTAAAAAGGGGCATTTAGTCCAACCCCTTCCTATCACAAATCAGGAAATTGAGGTCCAGAGAGGGAAGGTAATTTGCCCAAGATCACAGAACACTGAAGTGACGGACCCAGGACTTTGAAAACAGGTCTTCTGGGTGCAACTCCAGTATTCTTGCCATTACACCAGGAATCATATCTCCTCTTTAATGTAAAGCCACTGGGAAACAGCTATGTTGATAGTTTTGGTCAACCTTAACCTGCTTCTTTTTCTTTCTTTCCTTAGCATTCTTATTTTTCTATTCCTATTTGACATTCTCCCTTTCTTTTAAGTGAATAAAATAGGCAGTCGTGAACTATATACTCTTTGATGTTCATTGTTCATCTTTCACTTGAAACAGTTTTTGTAAGTGATTCAGGCTTATAATTTAGTTTGCCAAAAAAAATGATTGTTTAGTCTCCCTACCCTCTTATCCTGTGAATTTGGCTAGCTGAAGAAGTCATCTAGTCCAAGACTCATTTAAACAGAGGAGAAAATTTAGGCCCACAGACATTCAGTGACTTACCTAAGGTTACACATGTAGTAAACAGCAGACTTGAGAGTCAAGCCCAAGGCCACCTAACTCCAAAGGCAGGACTCTTTCCTCACATTTTCACCCAAGGGGCCCGAAGTATTTTTACATGTTTTCAGCAGTTGAAGACTTAGAAGGCCTTGGACTAGCCTCATCCCTGCCTGACCTATTCCAGCACAACCCTGACAGTGAACTTGGAGCAGAGAAGGCTCTTGTTTCTTGGTGCTATCTATGGCCTTAGCCTTTGCCCTTATTTGCTATATTATAAACAATTCTCTCCACCCCCCACCCCCTAATTCCCCTCTCACCACTACTCCTATCCACTGGTCTAGAAAGGAGATTTTACACAGACCCGTAGGCTTTTCCCAGCTGGGTTTTTGCTAATCGGTGCACAGGCAACAATGCTTGTGAGGGACCATTAGGAGATGTCTGGAGGTCTTCAACAACTGACGGCAGAAGTGTAGCCAGAGACCAGGCGCTTGCGAAGGTGGTTGGCAAAGTCCACCTGCGTCTGGGACATAACTTGGTTGATGATGGCCTTTGGTAGCCAGCCCTGAATCATGAGACAAGTAGAAAGGTTCCTTTGAGCAAAATGATCTTAACAAGGACAGCCCCACAGCCCACTGAGCATAAGCCTCATAATCAGTATGTGGCATGTTGGAATTACAGATAGCCATCCTTCAGCTCCATCTGTGAACGCTACCCAAGACATCAGGGCAGTTTGTAATGCTGCTTCTATAGACCTCATGGCTGTTCTCCCACTAACCATGAACCTGAAGTGGAAAAATTTGTAAGGAGATAGCTAAAACCGAAAGGAACCAGCCTAAAGCTACAACTGCCTAAGAGGGAGGAGGGAGGAAGGGAACAAGCATTTATTGAGTGCCTACTGTGTGCCAAGCACTTCAGAAATATCTGATTTGATCCTTACAACAACCCTGGGAGGCAGGGCTATTATCCTATTTTATGGTTGTAGAAACTGAGGCAGACATAGGTTAGTGATTTGGCCAGGGTCACACAGCATGTCAGGCCCAACTTGAAGTCACTTACCTTGAGGTCAATGCTGAGCAGCCAGGTCAGCTTAGTCTGAGAGGGGTTTCCAATCACAGGATGGAGGACCATGCAGGTGGGGCCATGCTCAGCTCTGAGGGGATGAACAGAATCAAAGTCATAAGATGAGAACTCACAGTTCTAGTCTCTTAAATAGTGCTCAGTACCATTACTATGATAGATCATTGGAATCCTAATAACAATAGCTACTATTTATAGTAGTGCCTATAATGCCAGGCATTGTGTTAAGTGCTTTACAAATATCTCATCTGAGCCTCACAATTCTGTTGTTGGATTCCATCGTTTCAATCATGTCCACCTCTTCATGACCCCATTTGGGGTTTTCTTGGCACGTATACTGCTGTGGTTTGTCATTTCCTTTTCCAACTCATTTTATAGATGGTGAAACTAAGGCAAAGTGGGTGAAGTGATTTGCCCAGGGTCACACAACTATTAAGTGTCTGAGGTGGGATTTGAACTCAGTCTTCCTGACTCTCAGAAGTTGTTTTTAGCAGTTTATGCAGGTTACATCAGCACCTGCAACTCTACCACCTCCCAGCTCTTTGTTTTTCTTATGGTGGTCCTCACTTAGCTATAAATAGGTAAATGAGGCTGTTGTACTTCTAAAATGGGGCAGAACAAGTTTTGGCTACCACATGGGATACCTATAAAAGCACTGGACTTGGGGTTGGAGGATCTGGGTTTGAATTCTGGCTCTGGGACTTGCTATACCCATGTCAACTTGGGCAAATCACTTAACCCCTCTGGTTCTCAGTTTCCTCACATGTAAAATGAAGGACTTGTACTACATTTCCTCTAAGGGCTTTTCCAGCTCTAAATTTATGAACCTGTAGGTCTTGTCCTGGTCTCTTTCTGCCTTGGTTTCCCTCTTTGGAAAACAATGGAAAGAATCTTTGTGGGATTTTTTTTTGCAAAAGAGGTGTTGAAAGGCAAGGGAACTAACATGGCATCAGAACTTCTTAGCAATATTTACTCAACAGTTATTGCATGTCTCCAGGCCAAAGTATGTCCAAGAATATTTATAGAAGAAATGGCTCTTGGGAAGAGATCTTAGAAGCGAGGAGTAGTGAGATGGGTCTTTAAGCCTGAGGGCACTTACCTGATGATACCCTTCTGCTCAGGCATATCCTCGAAGTGGGTAGCCATGCCAGCCAGCACACAAGTAGAACCGCGACGCTTGGCACATCGAACACTCACAAAATCTCGAGGCCCTACAATGTTTCCTGGTGTCTCGGCGGCAATCTCGTGGGTGATAATTGTGTCCTTCCCAATCTTCTGCAGAACCTTCTCAGACACAAAAGAAAATTAGTCACTAGTTCGAAGGAGGGAAAAGAGGAAGGGCTCATTGGCTTAAACTTCAGAGACAGTTGTTACAGATCTCTTCATCATCTCCAACATTCCCCAAATTTGGCTTCCTATTGTGTATAAGCCTCGTGCTGAGAGAGATAGAAAGTATAGAGGAGATACAGTCCCAACCCCGAGGAGCTGGCTGTCTATTAGAAGATGACACATGTACAAATAATGAGTACTTCAAGGATGCATTAATATTCCCTCTGCTAATAAAGATTATAAACTTTCTATGCCTCGTTATATGGTCTTCAAGAACTGCTGTGGCTGAAATATTCACTTTGGTGGCGAACCACTCCATGCTTAATTAGGTTGGTGCTCAAACCACAGACACACGGTGCTTCCCCTGGCCCACACCCAAAGACCTACTAAGTAGGACCTACCCCAGCTCCTACTGGTGTATAGCCTCCAAGTAGCCAAGTTTATTTCCATGCCAAGATGAGGCATTGGAGAGTTTTAATGAAGGATACAAAATGATAATGCAAAATATCACATAAGTACCTTACAAAGGTTCAAAAAGTGAACTATGAGTTAAAGGGGAAGGTTCTTAGACACGAGAGTTTAGGGAAGGAGTTAGCATCTTTGCTGGGCTTTAAACGATAGACAGGAAGATCACCTCACCTTAATCTCCTTGACGTTAGGGTTCCAGTCACCCATGTCTTCCATTCGTTCCACTAATTCCTCATAAAGCCTCTCCATGGGCTGGTCCACCACCACTTCCAGCCGAAACACCTTGCCCACATCTGAGACAACCTTACTCAACACTTTGTCTCCATTTGACTGTTGGAGAAAGACAGGAGAGCTGGAGTAACATTTGGGAAGAAACACCTTCCACCCATGGGTTCGTAGCAGTGCCAGACAAGCAGTGTAGAGAAAAGGGATAGAGAATCAAGAGAATCAAAGACTATCAAAGAGTTGGAAGAGGCTTCAAAAGATCCTTCTGCCCAAATCCTCATCTCAACAGAAAATACTTTGTTATCTAGAGATAAGTTGTCATCCACTTGAAGATCTCCTTTACAAAGCAGTCATTCCAATTTTGGACAATTTTTAATTGTCAGAATTTTCCTTACATGGAGCCAAGATAAAACAGGAAGACAAAGATGAAGAAAGCAGTGATGTAGTATCCTAAAAGTCTTACTCTACTCTACCTTAATTAGACCACATTGAGGGTATTATATTCAGTTCTAGACAGCACATTTTAGAAAGAATAATGATAATTATTGATAATGATAAGCAATATAAGTATCTAATATGGTGCAGGGCCTGGAGACCATGCCCCATGATTAGCTGAAGTTCAGCCTGTTCCCAATCAAAGACTTAGGGTAGGACATGAAGAAAACAACATGGCGTGGTGTATAGAGTTTAGAGTCAGGAAGACCTGGGTTCAAATGCTGCCTCAGATACTAGCTATGTGACCCTGGGAAAGTCATTTGATTTCTCCAGCCCTCAATTTCTTTAACTCTAAAATGAGGGAGTTAGTATCATGACCTCTAAGATTATTAAAGCTCTGATCCTAAAGATTTTCTGAAGGGCTGTCCTATGGAAGAAGGATTAAATTTGTTCTGCTTGGCCCCAGAGAACAGAACAAATGGTAACGTATAAGAAGTTAGAGGCAGATGGGGTGTATGAGGCTTTCCCTCTTCAAAGGCTGAATGACCACTTAGGATGAGGGTGGGGAGTTGTAAAGGGGATGGTAGGCAGGGGCTGGGCTAGAAAGCCTTACAAACTCCTTCCAGCTGAGATTGTGTGACATTGAGGTGCATTCCTAATTCTGACTTCCCGGGTGATCTTCCTAGTCTTCCAGAGAGGAGGTAGGAAACTGCCTTCCCCCTTCTCCTAGGGTAGCAAAGAAGAATGAGATAACCAGGAAGCATGCAAATGGTGATAACATCAATGGCCTCCACAAGATGATGCTAATGGGATTGTTATCAGCAAGTACAGGCCTCTGAGAAGGCCAGAGTTTGACCTTGGAAGCTTGATCACAGAGTTCTTTGAGAGAGAAGCTCTGCATCACTAGAGGAGATGGTGATTTCTGCTTTCCAAAGTTATCTTCCCCCAAGCAACTAGTGGTGAGGAGTCTGATTTTATATTGCATAATTAACCAGAGTCTGGGAAAGTAATTGATGAAGTTAAAAACTTGACCAAAATTTGCAAAGGCATTCTGGCATAATAGAAATGGCAATTACAAGGGGAATTAAAATAATTGAGTCAAGGTTTGCCAAGCACCTTGCATAGATTATCTTTGATCCTGGTAATAGCCCTGTGAGGCAGGGGCTATTGGTGTTATTTCCTAGTTGGCTGCTAAGAAAATGGAAGTTTATTGGGGTTAACTGACTTGCTTATAGCCTGGTCACTCTGCTAGGAAGCAGTAGAGATGGGGTTCAAACTCAGGCCTCTCCCAACTCCAAGCTCAGCACTGTTGCCACCACACCATATTGCCCTCACAAAATTTTAGTCTTAGCTTGGGACTTCTGAGCTGTGCAACTGGACTCAGCCACTGAACGTCAAGTCTTCATTTGGAAAACTGAAGTATCACATGCACATCCAGATTGATATAACGAAAGGACTTTGTGAACCTTAAAGTGCTCTAGGAATGTGACCTATTATTATCCTCCTATCCCCAAATAATGCTTCCACTGGTAATCAAAAAGTTGAGTAATTTTCAGGGTTATGGGAAGTAGGAATAGCCTTTGGGCCCAGAGAAGGCCGATCCTAACCAGATTTACAGGGCCCTAGAGCTCTCGTTACTAATTCTGGCTCTACTCATCAAGGGAAACCAAGTGTTCTCCATCGGTAGAATTGGCAGGAGCACATAAACAGCATGACGTTACAGTAAAAACAACAACAACAATGCTATTTGTGGTCAGAAGACCTGGGTTCAAGTTCCCGCTCAGTAATTTACTGTATGATCTCAGGCAAAGTTGTTTTGACCTCTCTGGACCTCACTTTCCTCATCTGTAAACCAAGGATTTATTCATTCAGGAACAAAGCATTTATTAAGCCATGTGCTGACACTAAGGTACTAGAGATCCAAAGACCAAAAAAAAAAGTCCCAACTCTGCTACTAATTAGTTACATGACTTGACCTCTCTAGATGTCAGTTTCCTTATCTGTAAAATGACATTAGATCAGGAGTTCTTAATATTTTTTTGTGTCATGGGCTCCTCAGAATGCTTTTTAAAAATTCATAATTAAAGAAAATGTAAATTTGAGTGAGATCTTGTGAAAATATATCATTTTTTTCCCGTTCAAGTTTATGGACCCCCTGAAATCTCACCAAGAACTCCCCTAAAGGGATATTAAAAAGGGATCCAGGGACCCCAGGTTAAGGAGCTCTGGTCTAAATGATCTATAAGGTCCCTTCCAACTCTAGATCCTGGGGCCCACTATGAGACCTGCATTCCAAATCTCAGGTCTACCACTGGGACTTTCCAGTTACTTCCCTAAAAGTGACTTAGTCTAAACGCTCATTTTATAGATGAGAAAACTGAGACCCAGGGAAGCTTAGTTACTAGTCACGTGTCACACGGCTAGTAAATACCAGAGTTGGGAATCTAACCCAGGTTCTCTGAATCTAAATGCAGTGCTCTTTCTACACCAAGCTGCCTCTGTATATCTAAGGATCACAGAGCTACAAGCTTCTTGAGGTCAGGAACTACATTTTTGCTTTTTTTTTTTTTGTATCTCTAGGGCTTATCACGACTGACCCTTAGCAGGTGAATAATGATGCTTGTTGACTGACATGGATGATACGGTTAGTCGGTGCTCTAGGAGCACAGGGGAGGAGGTCATCTTTAATCAGGGAAGAGGTAGGTGAGGTTTCAACCAGGCTTTGAAGATTGCCCATTGGAAAAAACGACCAAAGGCTTTCTTGTGCACGTTCTTACCCGCTCAATCTCACTCTTCCAACCATCCTCATTGCTGAGGATGCCAAGGGCTTTCTGCATGGCCTCCTCCCCCTGTCGTAGATAAGTCATGTCCTGGTCGCTGTAGAGGCTTTCTTCCAGCCGAGAGCCTGGGGATTGTAGGCAAAGTGGTCCCTTGAAGAAGGTAGAACCCCAATGATCTCCCCCAGGTGCCCCGCCTCCAGTTCCCATTAGCTTTAATTGTTCATTCTCTGAAGTTTCAACCTCCTCCAAAGAGGCAGGTTCCAACTTTTTTTTTTGGGGGGGAGGGGTGGTGGTTTAGGCAATAGGGATTAAATGACTTGCCCAGGAGGGGTTAGGCAATTGGGATTAAATGATTTGCCCAGGGTCACACAGCTAGTAATGTTATGTGTCTGAGGCCGGATTTGAACTCGGGTTCTCCTGACTTCAGGGCTGGTGCTCTATCCACTGCGCCACCTAGCTGCCCCCAGATTCCAACTTTCAAGTAAGGATAGACAAACAACAACAAAATGTGAAGGATGCTGGGGCGAGGGGAGGGCTGACTAGTTCTAGGAAACCAGCTTGTCATCTTCCCTGGTCAGAAATCCCACAAGCACAAGAAAGGAGTGGAAGCCACCTGGAGTACTAGATTAAGTCTGGGGGGTCTTTTCCCTACAGCTGAAGCCCCAGCACTTACTAAGCAAGGAACTGCCGCGGCGAACCTGGCTGATCCATGCACTGGGTGTTGGGCCTCCTAGCGCCCTCTTGCTCAGTTCCTGGCTGATGGCCATGATGGTCTGCTGCCTTAGACCTTCAGAGAAGAGGAGAGAGAAGTAAGAATATTAAGGCTGAGACAGATCTCAGACATCAAGGTAGCTGATATTTACACAGGACTTTAAAGGTTTACAAAGTGCTTTATTTCATTGTCTCATCTACCCCTCAGAACAACTCTCTTAGCTAGGTGTTATATTATCCCTGTTTGACAGATAAGGAGACTGAGGCTCAGAGAGTTTAAGTGACTTGCTTAGGATCATACATAGCTGGTTGGTATATGGATTCATCCTTTGGTCTTCCTGACTCCTCCTCCAGTGTTCTCTCTTCACCTGGTTCAATCCCTTTCTTTTATTTTTTTATTTCTCCTTTTTTTTTTATTTTTAGGCATTTGGGGTTAAGTGACTTGCCCAGGGTCACACAGCTAGCATGAAGTGTTTGGTCTGAGGCCAAATTTGAACTCAGGTCCTCCTGACTTCAGGGCTGATGCTCTATCCATTGTGCCACCCAGCTGCCCCTCCCTTTCTTTTATGAATGGGGAATAGGAGGCCTAGGGAGGTGGGACACATCTTCAGGCTTCTACCTGGTCTCCTTTCCTAATCTCCACTATACCCCACTGACTAAGAAAGAACCAGCACAGACTACAACTTTCTTTTCTTTTTTTTTGAGGCAATTGAGGTTAAGTGACTTGCCCAGGGTCACAGCCAGTAAGCGTCTGAGGCCAGATTTGAAACAGACTACAATCTTGAGTAGCTTAACACTTGGCAGCAGAGCTGCCAGATGCTTTCTGGAGATTCCCATTTCAATCCTCAGATCTCTCTGGGCATGAAGCCCAATAGTTGGGATCAAGGGTCAAGTGAAAACCAAGACAAATTTAATCAGCGAGGGCCTGGAAAGCCAAGAGCTTCCCTCCAACTCTTCGGGAACAGAATCTGGATAATGAACTCAATGGGAGATTGACTCCTCGGATCTTGAGGTACCTTCCAGCCAGAGCAGCTCTATTTCAGTGACAGAAAAGCTACACAAACTGCCCGTGGCCACTTCTTCCACAAGATCTCTCTCTTGACTACCTGTCCAAGCTTCTCTGTGATTCCTGTTGCCTCACCTCTCATCCTCATCCCTGTCTCCCCATCTGCCCGAGATTACAAGCAGCCAGAGTGGCCTTGGTATCTTTACAGACCGAAGTTGTTGTTTAATGGTCATCCACAATGTCCTTGAAGCTTTGGGACCCAATCACCCCTGGAAACCAGAACCTGCAGTCAGAGAACCTGGCCCCAATCCTGAGACATTCAGGAAGCACACACAGAGGCTATATATTCTATTAGGCAGACAGAGGCTATATATTCTGTTAGGATGACCAGGCAATCCTTACTGCTTGTGCTTTTAGAGGGAGGTAAAAGAACATAAGGGCAGAGACAGAGAGGAAAACTGTCTAAAAGCAAGGGGGAAATGACTCAGGTTGCTCATTAGTTTAAAAATACAACCACACACACACCCAAACCCTGACATTGAAAGCTTGCAAAACACTTTGTATAGGTTATGTCATTAGCAGTTCACAGCAGCCCTGAAGTAGTCAACATGTCTCTCATCATTCCTGTTTTGCAGATGAGGAAACAAGAGATTAAAGGATTTGCCTATGGTTACACAGCTAGTAAGTGCCAGATGTAATATCTGAACACATCCAGCCTTCTTTCCTGCTTCCCCAAATGACTTTGATCTTTGCTAATACCTTTCTCCTACCTCTCCCTGACTTTATGGATTTTATAACATATCTCTTCTGGGGTGGGAAAGTTGAGCTAGAAGTGGTTCGAGAAAAGTGATGTCTCCCTCATTTCAGAAACCACATTGATGGAGCTACCACAATCTACCAGGTGACTTACTTGGGTATAACCCGAGGGCATCATCTGGGTCCATTCATGGCTCCCATATTACCTCCCACGTGGGTCAGGTCTGAGCCAGAGAGAGGCCAGCTGCTTCCGGCATGGAAACCCGTGCATGGAACCAAAGGTGGGCAGTTAAAGCTAACACTTCTACTCTCCACCATCGGCATCGTTTTTTGTTTTGGGGGGTTTTTTTTCCTACCTACTGCTCTCCTGATCCATCTGCTTCCTCATTCTCTTCCTCCTTTTTTCTTCCTCCTTTGCCTACACTTTAGGACTGACAGTTTGCCTCCCCCTTCAGATCCTCCTTGACCACCACCAGAAACATCCATATATTCGGGAAACGCCCTTCCTCCCTTCATAAAGAAGGAAAGGGGAGTTAGGGGAAAAGAAGTGAATTTGCAAGTTGGTTAGTGTTGCAGTCCTGGATCACTGACTCTCCCAGTCAAGTGCACTGACCAATTCACCCTAATGTCTAAGAACCCCAGGTCCCTCCTCAAAAAGGCCCCAGCCCAGAGTCCTCACCCTTCATATTCCGCAAATGTCTGTAGGAGCTCCCAGCGCACAGTTTAAAAGTAGCCAGAAGCATTGTTCCCTGGGGCAGCAGGGGCAGCCACTGCTTTCTTGGCCTGTCAAGGTTTGGCCTCCCCGACCAGCAGCTGCTCTTTGGGCCCCCGAGTTCTCCTTCTTAAATGCCTGCTGAAGGTTGCAGCACCATCAGGAGGAGATAAAGGGACCATCATTCACGGAGGGAAGGAAGGGGTCAAGGATAGAGAGGCATTGCTTCACTGAGATGCTTAGGCGGGGAGGGTGGAGGGAAAGGGGAGGAGGGACCCCTGCAGCTGCAGCTTTAGCTTGTGACTGTGGCCAGGGAAGTGGAAACTAAGAGGATGGGAACCAGGAGAAGCAACTCAGATCAAGTCTGGAGGTGTGAGTTAGTCGCCCCAGAACGGATCGTGTCTCCCAGCCCGAATGCTAGTGGCCTGCTGCCAGAGCTGGAAGAAACCTTCAAATAGAGAACGTCAGAACACAGAATGATAAAGCCGGAAGAGACCCACACGGACTCTGTATTCCAAACCCTTCATTTTACAGATGGGAAAACTGAGACACAGAGAAGGGAGGTGACTTGCCTAAGGTCAAAGCTAGTCAGTTATAGAGTCAGGACCGTCTGCTTTCTTGCCTTATTCCTAACTGCCACTCATGTGCTCTTTCTATTCCAGATTCTCTGCTGCCTCTGGAGATTTCATTCATTCACTTAATCAACACACACTTATTGAGTTCCTGCTATAGACAAGGCAGTGTGGGGCAGTGGAAAGCACATTGGCTCTGGAACCAGAGGACATGGCTTCAAATGTTGCTAAATATTTGGATGACTTTGGGAAAGACACTTATCTGTTTTTTTGGAGGGGGTGGAAGGGCCCCAATCAGGTTTAAGTGACTTGCCCAGGGTTGCACAGCTAATAAATGTTTAAATGTTTGAAGCTGGATTTGAACTCAGATCCTCCTGACTCTAAGGTCAGTGCTCTATCCACTGTGCCACCTAGCTGCCTGCACATTTATCTTTCCTGAGCCTCAGCTTTCTTAATTGCTGGGAAGTCGGACTAGATTGGCCACTAAGGTCCCACCCAGTGCTAGGTCTATATAGCCCCTGTGATCCCAAGGTCCTGTTTTAGACCTCCTCTTTGGTGGGAATTCATTCTTTTTTTTTATTAGGTTTTAAAAATTAATTTATTTTGATTTATCAACAATCACTTCCATATGCTTTTGAGTTTAAAATTTTTCTCTCCCTTCCTCTCCACCCTCCACAAGACGGCATACAATCTGATATAGACTATACATATGCATTCCTATTAAACATATTTTCACATTAGTGATGTTGTAAGAATTAGAATCAATAGGAGGAACCACCAGAAAGAGCAAACAAAACTCAACAGAAGAAAAAAAAATAGCAAATAGTATGCTTCAATCTGCATTCAAACTCCACAGTTCTTTCTTTGGACGTGGATAGAATTTTCCTTCACGAGGCCTTTGGAGATGTCTTAGATCCTTGTATTGCTGGGAAGGGTTAAGTTTATCAATATTAGTCATCCCACAATGTGGCTGTTACTGTGTGCAATGTTCTCCTGGTTCTGCTGTCTTCACTCAGCGTCAGTCCGTACAAGTCTTTCCAGGTGTTTCTGAAAGTCAGCCTATTCATCATTTCTTATAGCACAATAACATTCCATTACATTCATATACCACAACTTGCTCAGCCATTCCCCAATTGATGGGCATCCTCTCAATTTCTGATTCTTTGCCACCACAAAAAGAGCTGCTATGAATATTTTTGTACATGTGAGTCTTTTTCCCATTTGTATGATCTCTTTGGGATATAGCCTTAGAAGCGCTATTGCTGGGTCAAAAGGTATGCACATTTTTATAGCCTTTTGGGGCATAGTTCCAAATTGCTCTCCAAAATGGTTGGATCATTTCACAACTCCACCAACAATGCATTAATGTTTCAATTTTCCCACAACTTCTCCAACATTTATCATTTTATTATTTTTGTCATGTGATACCTCAGAGTTGTTTCGATTTTCATTTCTCTAATCAATAGTGATTTAGAGCATTTTTTCATATGACTATAGATGGCTTTAATTTCTTCATCTGAGAACTGCCTGTTCATATCCTTTGACCATTTATCAATTGGGGAATGACTTGTATTTTTATAAATTTGACTTAATTCTCTATGTATTTTAGAAATGAGGCCCTTATCAGAGAGACTGGTTGCAAAAATTCTTTCGGTGCGAATTCATTCTTCAAGGGGTTTGGGAGGTCCAGAGTGAAAGTCCCATGGATAAATATCCCTGAAAAGGCGAGAGATGTCGTCAGGGATAGTAGAAGTAGCTGTTCCCAACCACCACAATAATAACAGTGGGTGCTCTTCAAAGTTGGTAAAGCCCTTTGGACCAGTTATCCCCTTTGTGTCTCCCAACAACACTGGGAGGTTAATAGCTACTATATGCTTAGAATGAGTCAAACTACAGGCAGCACCTCCACCTCCTGTTCCCCTCAGGCCTGGAGAGAGTCAGCCCAAGACCCTGTACCTCCAAACCCTGGGAATAGCAGTTACCCCAGATCACCAGCCTTACTTCTAGACGGCCCCCCACCTCATCCCAGGAAGCAGCCCCTGTGGAGAGGCAGCCTGGCAATTGCTTTTGTACATAGTGATTCGTTCACCCTTTGTTGGAAGTGTCCAACCATCTCTAAGAGGAGCAATTCCTGTGAAGAGGCCCACCTTCCTCACCAAAATCAACCCCTGACCAACTACCTCTGATGGGCAGGGGGGAAGCCCAGTAGCCCTGGGAATGACAATGTCCTCCAGCAGCTGCTTCCAGACCAACCCTGCCCACCCCTTGCTCTCTCCCCCATCCCTGTCCCAGAAAGCAACCCTGTGGAGATGCAACCTAGCAACTGCTCCTGTGTGTGCTGAAGAACCCGTCTTTCTGCTGTCCTCCCTCCCTCAAGCAATCACAGCTCTGGAAAGAGCCAGAAACAAAACAAAGTCCTTGGAATTATCAACATCAGAATTATCAACATCAGAAACAGATCTGATTTTTATCCCTGGAAAAAAGACAACATTAAAGAAGATGCATTGCCACTTGCTTTTCTGTAGCACCCTAAGGACCACGGGACTTTCCCATCTGATTTGCAATTGAAACCCTCCATTAGTGTGGTCTCCACCACTAGAATGTGAACTCCTTGAGGGCAGATAACATACCTACTTTTCTGTTTGTTTCTTGGGTGCTTTGCATAAAGTAAGTGCTTAACACATACCTTTCTACAAGGCATCGAGGTGGCACAGTGGATAGAGCACCGGCCCTGAAGTCAGAAGGACCTGAGTTCAAATCCAGCCTCAGACCAAACACTTGACACTTGCTAGCTGTGTGACCCTGGGCAAGTCACTTAACCCCAAGACAAAAAACCCCTTTCTATTCATTCATTGATTCATTAATGAAGCCTTCCTCTAGACCTCTAAGCTACAGTTGTGCCTTTCCCATTCATTTTTTGTCAAGTTGTTTTTCAGTCGGTTTTCCACTTTTCATGACCCCATTTAGGGTTTTCTTGGCAGAGATATGAAGTATAGGAAGTGGTTTGCCATTTCCTTCTCCAGCTCATTTGATGGGCAAGGAAACTGAGGCAAACAGGGTTAAGTGACTTGCCCAGGGTCACACAGCTAGAAAGTGTCTGAGGCCAGATTTGAACTCTCCAAGATGAGTCTTCCTGACTTCAGGTCTTGCACTTTATCCACTGTACTATGCAGCTGCCCCTCCCATTCACTTGCCATTTATCAGTGGTCACCTCATATTGTTACTTAATTTCTACATGTGAGTCTTTTGTCTACCCTGCTAGAATGTGTCTTTTTTTTTTTAGGCAATTGGGGTTAAGTGACTTGCCCAAGGCCACACAGCTAGTAAGTGTCAAGTGTTTGGTCTGAGGCTGGATTTGAACTCAGGTCCTCCTGACTTCAGGGCCAGGTGCTCTACCCACTGCACCATCTAGCTGCCCCAAAGGAAGAGTATTTCTTTTTATGCTTTTTGGTGAGGCAATCAGGGTTAAATGACTTGCCCAGGGTTACACAGCTAGTAAGTGTCTGGCATCTGAGGTTGGATTTGAACTCAGGTCCTCTTAACTCCAAGGCTGGAGCTTTATCCACTGTACCACCTAGCTGCTAGAATGTAAGTGTCTTGAAGGCAAGGACTGAGTCTTATTCATCTTTGTGTCCTCTTGATGCCTAATACAATGCACTTAATATTTGCTGATAGATTGTTGATTGACAGAAAGCTGTAGAGAAAAGGAGAAAAACTGTGGAGTTAAGGAGAAAAAAGTCCATATCTTTGTCCCATTCCATGCCCTAGAGGGACCTTCCTAGACCCTCTGCCCCCCTATAATATATTAATGAAGCTGGTAAATATGTTTTGGATCAGTGGGAAGTGGTGGGGTATGTGTGTCTGCATGCATGTGTGCACGTGCGTCTAACATAGTGTCCAGCTGGGTTCAGTATCACTGGGAGGTAGGGATGGGTGGGGTGGAGGAGGAGACTATTATGAAAAAGGCAGTGCAGATAAGCTCAAGGTCCCTGTGTTGCCATCCTTCCATGAATTACGGCAGTCCTGGGTGGGGGCTGGGGAAACTGAGGGACTGAGACATCCTGCTGGCTGCTGCTGACGTCAAAAGGCTGCAGTTCACTCAGAGAGCGAGGGGGTGGGGAGGAGGGCTGCCAAGTGACCCCCTGCAGGGCCAAGGCCCTCTTCTCTCATCTAGAAGGGTGTTCTCTGTGTGTGTGTGTGTGTGTGTGTGTGTGTGTGCCACACTGAGAAATCAGGAGAGCTAAAGTGGGAATGGAGGGATGGAGTATTGTTATCTGCCCTACTGGCAAGGAGAGGGGGAGACAGAAGGTGATGGACATTGATGTCGATGAGGAGATTTCTTGATGAGGCAAAGCCCCCATGCTGAGATATAGATTACACAAAAAGCTTGCCTCAGATAAGCTTGGCATTCAGCTGCTGGAGGCCCCAGGAAGTAGGAAAGAGTCAGAGCTGATGGAGAAAATGAAGATGGTGACAGGAGTGAGGAGATTTTTCTTCAAGTTCCCAGAGGGCAAGGACAATTATCTATTTCACTTTAGCCTCTGTGGTGCCCAGTA